GGATAGGATATCCTGAGGTGTCGTTACTTTTACTTTTTTTTTTTTACTTTTTTTCTTCGCAGCTGATCGGCTGGATAGCCTCTTGGGCAATCGGCCACGTCACTGTTACGCACTGTTGGCAAGTACTAGGGATACACTGGCATATCTGAACTTGCTCCAGTGCTGGTCAAGTCTTGTCTTGAAACAGCTCACACTCGGTGCTATCACAACACTCTCTGGCAGATTGTTCCACGAGTTCACAACTCTCCAAAAAAAGTTAGCCCTCACAGTTTTCTGGACTTTCAGCTTCTTCAAGCTTGAGCTGTGGCCCCTTGTGGGGCAAGCGTCCGCCATCTCCAGGTAAGGACACTCAACTGAGTAGTGCCCTTTGAAATGTTTATACACCTCAATTAGGTCTACCCTTGCCCGTCTGTAGGAAAAGCTAGCAAATTGCAGGCACTCTAATCTCTCTGGGTAGTTGAGGTAGCCCTCCTTTGGACATTTTCAATCAACTGACAGTCCCTAGCATATCTCGGGGACCAGACAGAGTGACAATACTCCAGGCGGGAGGCACCTCGCTCTTGAAGATATATGAACTGCCTTCTTATAAGACCTCATAATTTAGTTGCTTGGTTCACCTTCTCACAATGACCCAAGAACTTCAGTTCATTGTCAACATACAATTCCAGTCCTTTCACATTCAGTCTTAATTAATGAAGTTTCTTCTTCCCATTGGGACATATGATACTCCTCCTTACCGTTGGTACGCCCCAGGTGCATCCTCTTACACTTCGTGTGTCTCAGGCCAGGTTATTGCGTGTCCCAGGCCAGGTTACTGTGTCCCAGGTTACGCAAATGCAGTTTAGTAACCTAATAAGAACATAAGAACACAAGAATGGAGGAAACTGCAGCGGGCCTATTGGCCCATACTGGGCAGTCCCGTTTACATTCAACCCTTTTTGCTCATATAAGCATCCAACCTATGTTTGAAGCTATTCAGCGTATTCGAGTTAATGATGATATTTGGTAACTTGTCCCATTCATCCACTACTCTGTTTCCAAACCAGTGTTTACCTATTTCCCGCCTAAATCTAAATTTGTCTAATATAAAACCATTGTTACGAGTTCGCTCCTGGTTGGATAGTTTGAGTACCTTTGTAATGTCCCCTTTGTTTAGCCCTGCCTTCCACTTATACACCTCTATCAGGTCGCCCCTCGCTCTACGTCTCTCGAGGGAGTGCAAATTAAGATGCTTTAACCTGTCTCTATACTCAAGGTTCCTAATGCCCGGGATTAGTCTTGTCATTCTCCTCTGAATTCTTTCCAAGGATTCTATATCCATTCTGTAATACGGTGACCAGAACTGAACTGCGTAATCTAGGTGTGGTCTCACAAGAGCAAGATACAGTTTTAGGATGGCCTCGCTAGTCTTGTAACTAACACTCCTTTGTATGAACCCAAGTACTTTATTAGCCTTGTTACGAGCAAAAACACATTGTTTACTTGGCTTAAGGTTCCTACTTATCATTACTCCTAAATCTCTCTCGCAGTCGGATTTCTCTATGGCATCGTTGTTCATCTGTTATCTGGTTTCCCTGTTTACATCTCCTATACTGAGTACTTTACATTTGTCCACGTTGAATTTCATCTGCCATTTTTCAGACCATTCGAAAAATTTGTTTAGATCTTCCTGTAGTTTTGCTGAGTCCTCGTCAGATTTAATAACACGTTCTATTTTAGTGTCATCAGCAAATTTACTTATGTTGCTGTCTATGCCGATATCTGTGTCGTTTATGTATATAATAAATAATAATGGTCCAAGTACTGAGCCTTGGGGAACTCCACTTGTGACGTTGCTCCAATGGGACTTAGTGCTGTTAATGCTCACTCGCTGTTTCCTGTCCTGTAACCCGCGCTAATCCACAGGATGTTTACCTTTGATGCCATGAGGCTTCTACCTTTCTAATTAGTCTTTACGTGGGGACTCTAGCCGAAGCTTTGCTAAAGTCGAGATATACCCACATCATAATTGTGCCCTAGTCACGATTCGAAAACTGATGAAAAGAATGTTAATAGATTAGTTAGACAAGAGCGTCGCTTGTGAAGCCATGCTGGGGAATCGCTGATCAATGAGTGCTTCTCCAGGTGATTTCGAATAGAGTTTGAAATGATTGCTTCCAGTAATTTGCCTACTATTGATGTTAGACTGATTGGGCGGTAGTTAGAGGATAGTGATCTATCCCCCTTCTTGAAAATCGGTATTACATTCGCTATCCTCCAGGATTCTGGTACTACATCTGTTTTTAAGGACATGTTAAACAACTTTGCTAAGGGCATACTAAGCTCTTCCTTACATTTCTTTAATACTCTGGCAAATATCTCATCGGGACCAGGTGACTTATTAGGCTTTAGTTTGTCTATTTGCTTACTAACATCGTTACTAGTCACTACTATCTCGCTTAATTTGTTTTCTTCTCTATCTCTGAATAGAGTCGGTGCCTCGGGTATCATGTTTAAATTTTCGGTGGTGAAAACTGTTGAAAAATATTTATTCAAATTATTGCTCATTTCTCTGTCGTTATCAGTGAGCTCGCCGGTGTCTGACCGTATTGATCCAATCTTTTCTCGTGTTTTAGTTTGATACATTTGGTAGAATCCTTTGGGGGTTTGTCTTCGCCTCCCTTGCTGTCCTTACCTCATTATTCCTCTTTGCTTTCCTTATCTCAGTTTTAACCCTACTCGCCAATACCCTATAATAGTCCCGGAGGTGAATTTCGCCACGATTTATCCTTCTACCTATAGCCTTCCTTTGGCCAATGATGTTCTTTAAATAATTATTTATCCATTTAGGGTCATTGTTGTCTGATCTGAGTTTTTTGTATGGTATGTTCTGCCTTTGTGCATTAAGTAACTCACTATTTAAATTGTCGTGGAACTCGGCAATCTCAGATCTCGTTATCAGGTCGGTGTCATCTGTCAGGTTCACGGCCAAGCGCGACACCCCCTCTCTCAGCTGCCTCTTTAAACTGTCAAAGTTCGCCCTTCTGAAATCTGGTACTTTAGTGGAATTTTCCTTACGTCTGCCCTGAAAATTTAACTGGAATCTAATTTCTTTGTGATCGCTGTTTGCAAGTTCGTTCCCTACCTCGACACTGCTAATGAGGTTTTCTCTGTTTGACAGAACTAAATCGAGTATATTATTACACCGTGTGGGTTCGGTTATATGTTATTAAGGAAACTGATCGGAGGAGGTCAATGATAGTGCCACCTAGGCAAATGAACTTGGGCTGCTAAGGCGGTTAAGAAATAGATCACATGAAAATTAGCCACCCAGAGCTTATTTCATCTTCCTATTAACCACCCTAATACTTACCTAACCAACCCCCAGATAGCGTTAGGGCGTTTAATCTTCAGGTAAAATAAACTGAAGAGGATCTAATCTTGATGTGATCCCGAGAAAGCTGCAGATCCCATCAACGGTTTACCGCATAATACTGGAGGATACACTGAATACAAAACTGTATATCAAGATGAAATGTGTCCAAGACCAAGCCTACAATGAAGTATAACCCATCAGTGGCCACAGCATGAAACTGCATACGAGTCATAACACTATCCCTCCTCCTAGTCACAGGCCTGGCATTTGACATTATTAGGGACCTGCCACACTTTGCCATAAACAGATAAAATGTACCGGGAACTTTCCCCCCACACACTCATCATTATCTCACTTTATGTAACTTGACAAAACCTATGACCCTTCAGGCTTTTACGCCCTTAATGTACGAGTCATAAAGGCAAGTATGAACTTTTCATACTTCCCTGTTGGGCGCTGTAAACGCTTCTGCGCTTCACCTTGCACAGGATGTAAGGGGGTGCCCAATAAACTAGCCCCCTCGGGGGCAAATCTGAATCTGAAATCTGAGTCATAACACTCGCACAGATCACACCGAGATACAACAGCTTATCTATGCGTAACTGTGGACACAGGTGAACAATTTAACTGAACTAGTTTTTGCTCCAGCATAAACAATTTGTTGAACCACAAATGAATAAGGGTGCGATGCACATCCATACTTCGGATACTAATGGAATGAATGAATGATTATGAATACGACATTAGCAACGTAACAGCCAAGGTCTTATGGTACCGGAGAAAATTAATTCTAAAAAGTTAACCTAAAATCAAAATAATTCTTGGAACAATCTACCAGAAAGTGTTGTGACGACACAGAGTGTGAGCTCTTTCAACATCAGACTTGACCAACACTGGAGCAGGTTCAGGTACATTCAGGAGCAGGTGCATGCCCATTTCTAGCCAACAATGCGTAACAGACATGACCGATCGTCAAAGCGGCTAACGAGCCGATCAGTGGTGAAGAGGATAAAAGAAAAGAAAAAGAAATAATATTTTTGGGGGGTCGGGAAATCTCTACACCTTACTTTATATTCTACAATATTACACCAAAATTATGTATATAAGTACCTTTTGAAAATGAATCTATATCTTTATCTATACATTCATCTTGAAAAATAATTTAAAACCCCTTACACTTCCGGCAAAATACATGACGCACTTCAAAAAACTTGTCCTCGCACCCTCTACCAGGCGTCCCTAATCGTGACTTTTTCCTTACCAGCAGCTGGAGTAAGGGCTTCCAGTAACTCCTTAAAAATCATTGACAATAATTTATAGTTGATTCTGAGTATTATTTTTAAATTAGGCTTTATCTAATTATGTTTTAAACAAAGTAATTGAGATATATAAATAAATTAGTAAACTATAAAGACACACCTTAAAGCATACCTTCCTATATAATATACTGTATAAATATATACAGTATATAGATGTCCATATACACACGCGCATTTACATATTTATATAATGGTATAGAAATGTACGTAAGTATTTACATGCCTAAATTGGGTAAGAAAAACTTAGTTCTATAATAATTTTTATTATTATTGTTAGTGCTTATAGCGCGTGTGTTCGTGACGTCATTCAGATTCTCGTTTTGCAGTCGAGGAACAAGCCGCCATCTTCCTCCATCGCTCTCTGCGCAGACTCCACGTGTGGCGAGTAGATGCACTTGTCTTTGACCTGCACTTTTACTCCCGTCACCCGAGTCGTCATCACATAATAGTAGTATGAAGGTAAGCCTTGTATAATATAGCAAGTGAGTAGCATAATATAATTGTGTTAAAAGTTATAAGAAAAGTAATATCGAATGGGTTACTGTGTTGATTATACCGCTTTAAGCGGTGATCGTGGTAGACATTTGTTGTCTGTGGCCAGTGCTCAGACGCCGACTTTTATTTTCATTTAGAAAATGTGATTGTGTTTCATTAAAGTGTCTCCCTCTTAATAAATGATTCAGAATCATGGCATACATTTGCTAGACTCCTTTTCTGTACTATTTCCATACAACGACTTGTACTATTGATCTTAAGTAGATCCTTTTGCCCGCCACTTGGTGTTTCTCAAATCTCCCTTTGAACAAATTGATGCTAATTATATTGCTATGGGTGGATGTATGTAGTGGCTAACATTCAATTGATTCTGTAATATCTAACAAAGCTTGTGCAAATAAAATGCCAATTTTGGACAAATATTTGAATAGTTTTCAACACCGTTGTTAGTAGCCACCTGGAAAAAAATATATGAGAACTTTTTATGGTAAAGATGCAGGAGACGGTTAGCACCAGAAATAACTTATGGAGTTAAACTAAAATATATGGAGATACTATTTGCATGATGCTTAACACGAAAATGGAAACGAGTTAATGATGATATTTGGTAACTTGTTCCATTCATCCACTACTCTGTTTCCAAACCAGTGTTTACCTATTTCACGCCTAAATCTAAATTTGTCTTATTTCAAACCATTGTTACGAATTCGCTCCTGGTTGGATAGTTTGAGTACCTTTTTAATGTCCCGTTTGTTTAGCCCTGACTTCCATTTATACACCTATCATATCGCCCCTCACTCTACGTCTCTCGAGGGAGTGCAACTTAAGATGCTTTAACCTGTCTCTGTACTCAAGGTTCCTAATGCCCTGGATTAGTCTTCTCATTCTCCTCTGAATTCTTTCCAAGGATTCTATATCCATTCTGTAATACGGTGGCCAGAATTGAACTGCGTAATCCAAGTGAGGTCTCACAAGCGAACATATAGATTTAGGATGACCTCGCTAGTCTTGTAACTAACACTCGTTTGTGTGAACCCAAGTACTGTACTTTATTAGTTTGTTTTGAGCAAATACACATTGTTTACTTGGCTTAAGATTCCTGCTTATCAGTACTCCTAAATCCTTCTCGCAGTCGGATTTCTCAATATCATCGTTGTTCATCTGGTATCTGGTTTCCCTGTTTACATCTCCTATACTGAGTACTTTACATTTGTCCACATTGAATTTCATCTGCCATTTTTTCAGACAATTCAAATTTTTTTTTAGATCTTCCTGTAGTTTTGCTGAGTCCTCGTCAGATTTAATTACACGCCCTATTTTAGTGTCATCAGCAAATTTACTCAAGTTGCTGTATTCGCCGATATCTATGTCGTTTATGTATATAATAAATAATAATGGCCCAAGTACTAGGCTTGGATATAGAATCCTTGGAAAGAATTCAGAGGAGAATGACAAGACTAATCCCGGGCATTAGGAACCTTGAGTATAGAGACAGGTTAAAGCATCTTAATTTGCACTCCCTCGAGAGACGTAGAGCGAGGGGCGACTTGATAGAGGTGTACAAGTGGAAGGCAGGGCTAAACAAAGGGGAAATTACAAAGGTACTCAAACTATCCAACCAGGAGCGAACTCGTAACAATGGTTTTAAATTAGACAAATTTAGATTTAGGCGGGAAATAGGTAAACACTGGTTTGGAAACAGAGTGGTGGATGAATGGAACAAGTTACCAAATATCATCATTAACTCGAATACGCTGAATAGCTTCAAACATAGGTTGGATGCTTATATGAGCAATAGGGGTTGGGTGTAAACGGGACTGCCCAGTATGGGCCAATAGGCCTGCTGCAGTTTCCTCCATTCTTATGTTCTTATGTTCTTGGGGAACTCCACTAGTGACGTTGCTCCAATCGGATTTAGTGCCGTTAAAGCTCACTCGCTGTTCCCTGTCCTGTAACCTCGCCATAATCCATTTTAGAATATCTCCTTTAATGCCACGAGCCTCCACCTTTCTTATTAGTCTTTCGTAGGGGACTCTGTCAAAGGCTTTGCTAAAGTCGAGATATACTACATCGTAATTGTGCCCGTCGTCCACTGATTCGAAAACAGATGAAATGAATTTTAATAGATTAGTTAGACATGAACGCCCACTTGTGAAGCCATGTTGGGATTCATTGATCAACTTGTGCTTCTCCAGGTAATTTCGAATAGAGTTTGAAAAGATTGCTTCCAGTAATTTGCCTACAATTGGTGTTAGACTAATTGGACAGTAGTTAGAGGATAGTGTTTTCTTCATAGTATTCCAAAAATACTTCTTTCTCACTTCCGCCAGACATTTGTCACGTCCGGGGTGACCTGCTTGGGGAGCATTGTGATACAACGTTAGTATCGTTTCACGAAGTGTATCAGGTACGACAATTTGTGTAACAACACCCTCAGTTGTCTGCTTGGAGCGAAGGACTATATCTCGTCGTAGTTTAAATGGATTGAATGGAAGAGATAACTTTGGAAGATTAGCCTCCTCTCCCGACTCGAGAGCGAAACTGACTGTTGACCACAATGGATTGAGGCGTTATTCATCTCTTAATTGCGAGTGGCAGAACGATGATAGAGGCATCACTGGTGCTATGTTTCTGGACAAAGCGTCTGCGACCACATTCGCTCGTCCCGGTAAATACTTGAACTCGGGTTCAAACTTGAATGGTCAGATACCTGTGTGTGTGTAATATATATATATATATATATATATATATATATATATATATATATATATATATATATATATATATATATATATATATATATATATATATATAAATCACTGTAGTTATATATATATATATATATATATATATATATATATATATATATATATATATATATATATATATATATATATATATATATATATATATATATTCAGGGCAGGATGCAAATGCATTACAGGAGGATCTAAATAAACTTCAGGGGTGGTCTGAAAAATGGCAAATGAAATTCAACACCAGCAAGTGCAGCGTACTTAATATTGGAAGAACAAATACTGTCAATGTATACAGCCTTAACAACATCAACCTAGAGAAGTCTACTTGTGAAAGAGACCTAGGGGTACTTTAAGCCCGGACCTATGGCCTGAAAAACAGTGCATAAATGTTCGAAATAAGCAAACGGAGTATTGGGTTTTATATCTAGAAGTGTAAGTAATAAGAGTGCAGAGGTCTTATTGCAACTATATCTTGCGCTAGTCAGCCCGCACCTCGATTATGCGGTTCAGTTCTGGTGCCCTTATTATAGAATGGATATCAATTCACTAGAGTCGGTGCAGCGAAGAATGACGATAATGATTCCGGGACTTAGAAACCTTCCATATCAGGATAGGTTAAAGAAACTAAACTTGCATTCCCTAGAAAGACGAAGAGTGCGGGGAGATTTGACAGAAGTATTTAAGTGGGTGAAAGGAATCAATAAAGGTGATATAGATAAAGTTCTTATAATATCCGAGCAGGGTAGGACTCGGAACAACGGATTTAAGTTGGATAAGTTTAGGTTTAGGAGGGAGATAGGAAGGGACTGGGTTACAAATAAGGTGGTGGATGAGTGGAACAAGCTTAGCAACTTTGTAGTAAGTGCTGGAATGCTGGAAAGTTTCGAAAGGAGGCTGGATAGATTCATGGATGATAGAGAGTGGTAGTAACACTCGACAGGAGCTGCCATGCACAGGCCAACCGGCCTATTGCAGACTCCTTATGTTCTTATATATATATATATATATATATATATGTATAATATATATATAATATATATATATATTATATACAGTGAACCCTCACTTTACGCGGTTAATTCAACCCACGGCGGCCCGCGTAAAGTGAACAACATAACATTTGGGATTAAGTGAAGTAGAGACTGGGCCGACCCCCAAACTCCACTTTTTCAGACACAATACCTATGTTGTAGTAAAAATAACTTCTTAATTTTATGATGGTATGCACACACAATTAATAATTAAGAGAAATATCAATAATATTAGGTTTTTTAACACTTACATTAGTAGAAAAGATGGCTGGGCACACGGGGATGGGGGGTTGGTTCCGAGGCAGAGGGCAGATTATTGGCCCTCACCTGTATCAATTGTATCACTATCCACCACAGAGGCTTGCAGGGCCTCTTTGTCAAACCCCTCAAAGTCCATATAAGTCCATATCCTCACTATCATTATCACTATCACTGACTTGGGCCGGCTGTGGCGGGTGAAGAACTCGGTAATGTTTTGATGACTGGGCGACCTTGTGCGCACCCTGCTCGCACCGCTCTCCGCGTAAAAGGGTACACACACCGAGGAAAGTGGGCATTCCGGTTTCGGCAGGGTACCGCGTAGACGTGGAAACCCGTAAAGTGGGACCACGTAAAGCGAGGGTTGACTGTATATATAATATACAGTATATAAATAATATATATATATATATAATATATATATACCGGTATATAATATATTAATATATATATATATATAATATATATATTATATAATATATATATTATATAATATATATACGTATATATGTGTGTAAAATAATAATAATAATTAACGGTTTATTGAAAGAGCTTGGCAGCCAGAAGGCTGAAAATATACAGTTACATATTTGGGGAATGGGTTACGAATTACAAATAATATACAAGTAACATGAGTGACACAAGTAAGACATATAATAACTAGATGGGGAAAAGCTCAAACTACAGTTCATTTCAACATAGTGACAGTGCAAGGAGTAGTGTTTACTGGGAGTGAATACACTGAGTTATTACAAGTTATTGATAATTTTTACAATGGTTGGGACTGGGCTGTTCTTATAGCGATCAGTTCGTGCACGTATGGGCTGGATGCGGTTGTGGTGTCGAACAGCAATTCTCGGACTAGGGATCTCAGGTGGTAGTAGGAGCCGGTGTTCTTGTGGCTCGGTGTTAGCGATCCCTGTTTACAAACGGAGGTTCAGGGTTCGATTTCCGACTAGTGAGAGGTATTGTTTGTTCATGTTAGGTAAATGAAAATAATTTTTATTCTGTATATATATATATATATATATATATATATATATATATATATATATATATATATATATATATATATATATACTGTATATATTTTATTTTTTCTTGATTTTGTATAATGGTCATTGCTTGTGCAGACCAAATGGGTAAAGCTTACAACAGTAATGTGGCTTCAAATAAGGAAAATATGATATAAAACTATAAAATTAAAAATGAAGAACAAGGGTGTGTAAGTGTAGAGATGGATGTATGTTTGAAAGCAATGAGCTGTAACTAACTGCATTGCTAGCACAGCCTTGCTCTTCCCCGTTGTAACATCACGGTATACACACGTTTCAGAGTAAGCTGCCTTGAACTGTGTGGCGTTGCCCAGAGGATGGTTTGAGTGTGGAAATATGTATCAATTTTATTGTTTATCATGGCAATTTTTTGCGCACCACTGGGTGACAGGCACGCAAATGAATGACTTCAATTGCATTCAGATTGTTGGACAAGTCCACTATGTTACACTTACCATGGACACCAAGTTTTACCAATAGGTGCTGAATATTAATTCTGGTGCCCTAGATAGTCTCTGGTGCAATGTATAGCACCATAAACCTAAACTATTGAGATGCTATAGCACCCTTCCTTCTCACGCCTATGTGCTGGGTGGAGTGAGAGGGCGGTGCGGCATGGCACACGAGATAACCAACAACTGTATTCATGGAGTGTGTGCGGGAGATGCGCATCTGCCAACAGTCGGTCAAAAAATCCCAAAAGCCTCACAGATAGCTGAATTTTGATTGCAAATTTTGAAAAAAATATACAGTTCTGGAAATTTTACACGAATAAGTGAATTAAGAAATATGGAGTTCGCATATGGAGGGGGGGGGTATTAACTTCACCATTTCCTGCACTGTACTTAACCCCAAAAAATATATATATATATTTTGAAAATGTTTCAGGCACACAATCAGCATTATATTGTAGTTCACTGTCAAGAAATTGTTTGACTTCAACTTGCATTATTCCATTTCAAAGAAATTAAGGTATCCATTAAAGAGTTTTAATGTTCAGTGTTCCCTAGTATTTGTCATTGTATTTTCCTTTCAGTCCCCCGGGCAAGCTGTTGCAACTCCTAAGAAAGCAAAGAAATTGGCAGCAGAAACTCCAGAATTGAAAAAGAAAGCAGCAAAGGCACAGACTCCAAAGGTAGAGGTGTCTCAAACACAAACTCCTCAGACTCCAAAAATAAAAAAGGGTAAGGCTAAGAATCTAGACACCCCAAAAGTAGAAGTTAAAACGCCAAAAGCAGAGAAAGTTAAGACACCTCAACCACAGACCCCCAAAGTGGAGAAGAGTGAAACAGAACCACAAGCAAAGAAACTCAAGACACCCAAGACTGACACTCCAGCAGGAAATTCCTCCCCAGAAAAAATACAAACAGTAGTTACAGAGCACTCAGGTGGTGCAACACGCGGACAGAGAGGAGGAGGAAGAGGAGGTTTCCGAGGTGCAATGAATGGATTTAGAGGTCGAGGTGGTGGCTTTAGGGGAGGTAGGGGTTCCTTCAGAGGAGGTCCTGGCAACTTCAGAGGAGGTCGGGGAGGAAGAGGTAGAGGCGGAAGAGGAAGAGGTGGCTCAGTTGTAAGTATTTTTTATTGATAATTGAATTAAATATTTTACAGGCTTGTGGGTAGTATACTGTACTTTGTCAGAATATCAGCATGTAATACAACACAACTTCGCTAATTAATTGGAGCTTTGATCTTTTTGTGTCTGGCTTTGATTGAAGTGAATTTTGGTCAACTACAAAATCACAGCTTTATGCTCTTCCTAATTTTTTTGCTTATCTTTCCTACTATTTAAATCTGCTTTTGTCCTCACTCTTTTTTCATCTTTGTGCATTTGCAGATTTCTATCTTTAGGTACAGTACTTATCATGGTGCATATGCCTATACAGTACTTATATTTTTCAAATTTCTTTTAGTTTTCATTTAATTCTCGATTCTCCTTTCTTCCATAAATTTGACACGTGTGAAAGATTGTCACTGAACTTAGGCATCCCTTCTCTTAGAATTTTTCAGCTGGCCTTCATTATTTAGTAGCACAACCTTGGACCTTGTGCTTTTATGAATGTAAATTTTGAATGCTGTAATTACATTGGGTTTAATGTACTGTATGTCGATGTTTGTTTGGAACGGTTATAGCCTATTACTATGTAGCCTTTATTTATTTGTTATTATTATTATTAAAGAGGGTTACTGACCAGAATCATATACCAACTCTCATTCTGATACAATGGCAGTACTGGTGCACCATGGCCTATAAAAAATCACCTTGTGTTATACTGTAGTTAACAAAACAAATAAGGTGTTCCACATTTCTAGAATGCCTTGTCCAAATTTTTCTTGGTGTGATGTTCATTTCTCTTTTCCCGTGAGTGAATAATTTCTCAAGGGGATATAGTCATCATGTTAGTCATTTATAGACATAACATTAATCTAAAATATAATTGTTCTACCTCAGGAATTCAATATACTGTGCTGTAAATATGCACATTGAAACTTGGCTATCTTTGTGAACCTTATTCTATATACAGTACATTTAATGACCTGTCTTTCTGTTTGAGGCACTGGGACACTCCTTGGCCTTTCACAAGGTACTCTTAAATGCTCATAATGTCAATACAGTGTAACTATAGGGTTATATAAGCATGGGGTTATCATGAAAAATGTTCAAATAAAAAAGGTTACTAATAACTTTGTAAGGAGCAAAGCTTAGGGCCTTCTTTTTTTCATTGAATTTGCAGTTAATTACGGGATTACTGGATGTTTGGGATACATTTTATAATTTCTTGTATTGGTATTTCTTTTAATATATTTATACGGTACTGCAGGCTGAAAAGAATCCATGTGCTGTGTATATGAACTTCTCCAGCCCTATTGATGGAACTGCTGCAACAGAGATTTTGAAAATTGGAAAAGCTGCATCTGCAATACATTTTGGAAGGTAATTGTCAAACCCTGTTTTATTTATATGAAGTCCTTGCATTATGAATATCAGACTTACGAACACCCAGGCATAGAAATGCGTCTTTATAGTCTCATTTTATTATTGATATGGGGTGGCTCAGGTAAGTCAATATATAATGGAAGTGATATGGAGGGTTGAGGCAGGCAAGCATCAGGCTGACATGGGTCAGTCACTTGGATTCATCTACCATTAAAATTAAATGTTGATTAAACTATGCATCAGTTGACCTCACACAGAATAACCTAGACTAAAATTTTCTGAGGTACTCTCTTGAAGCACCATACTATATTAACCAGAGCTTTGCAACTGTAGCCTAGAGCAGATTTTATCAATGAGGCTGATTGACATGAGGTAAGTTGGGTTAAACTAGAGCTCTTCGCTACTTAAAATCTATTCTTTATATTTTGCAATTGCAAATAATATTAACAATTTGTGTGTTTATCCAGAATGATATGCAAAGCCAGGGAAGTAAAAAAAATATATATATATATGAAGTGCATTGATAACTTAGATACTGTTAAAAACGATCTGAGATGGGAAACTACATGTATATTATAGACGCACACATGTATTCACCTGGCATGACTCAACCAATCCTGAGCTACCTTTTATTTGGCTCCATTTCAAATTTAGAGAGAACCGAGTAAAGGTGTCAGGCAGGAAGGACACATGCAGACCACTGAAGTTACCTTAACCTGTACGGCGTCGGTTTAATTAATATAATTATGTTCTGCTTTTTTTTTTTACTTTTGGATTTTGGTTGAAATGGACTTATGCAATCATATAATGAAGGAAAAACATAATTTAGCAACGCACCGGACCAAGGAAAGTGTAGTTACACCCATGGGTGAACGTGTCGTGGCGTTGAAAGTTTACGCGTAAAACCCGTAGTGTCTTAGGGGTGTTGACGCTTTTCAACGAGTGAGTGGAATTATGCTAATTACCGTAAGTTTTCACTGTTTGTCGCTGTTTTTTCTTTATTTATCTTCTATCTCGGTTTTGGAACATCAATATATTTATCCTTTTTCGTATTATTTACTCATTTTCATAATAATTTTCACCAATATGTATTTTTTTTATGATTTTATAAATATTTATTTTTTATTTGGTTTCTCTTTGCATCCTAAGTATATATTTTACAGTACTTATTCATTTATCTCGAAAATATATCGACGTAACTATTATGCCGTTGACGCTGGGAGTACAGAAACATTGCGGCGTAACTGTTACACAGTTGACGCTCTGCGAGTTAAAGATAGGAAGGTGAGCCACACATCCATGAGCTTAATTCTTATCATGTAAAACACCCTGTGCACATTTGATACAATTAAACACACTAGAAAAAAATTAAAGGGTAACTGGCAACTTGTGGAATGCAGGTCTTATCAAAATACAGCATAACTTAGAGTGTTTTGAGTTGTCATATTGAGTAAAACTGAAAAGGTTCAGATAACTTTTTTACTGACTGTACAGTACCATTAACTTTACCCAAAGAAGCTGCGATCCTTTAGCATTTATAGGGTAAGATTTGACTGCCAGGAATTATAGGGCAAGATTTGACATTGTTAGGAACATATCTCTAAAGGCATCATGTTATAATGACCTTAATGGGGTAATAGCTTAACGGACACTTCACAGGAACCTATCTTGATCATTATAAAAGGTCTCCCTATATATTGTTCATGTGCACTTAGGCTTATGAAAGCCTTTTAGGGCATGAAACTTCATATGCCGAGTTGCATATGAATGAGTGTTAAGCGAGTTATTAAAGGAGCCTCATCATGGCTGACAAGTATTCGTTTTTATATATATATATATATATATATATATATATATATATATATATATATATATATATATATATATATATATATATATATATATATATATATATATATATATATATATAAACAGTACAGTATTTAGAAAAGGGGAATTGCCTACACAGCAGCCATGTCTTGGGCTTGATTCTTTCAGTGATCAGAATTGGACGATGGGAACACAATTCAACCACTGGGACAGCGTTGATGTATGTAAAACAGAGATGTTGTCTGGGTGATAATACTGCATGACCGGGGTGCTTCTTGGCTTGGGTATGGTGTGGCTCTGATGCACGTTGCGGGAAATTTTCCACGGCTTACCACTGCTCAGTGTAGCTCTTGTCATTTGCCTATCGGAATACTTTTAATAATTTTTTGTGTTGGCATTTCTTTGGATATATTTATACTCCTGTTGATGGGTGTAAAAGAAGGTGTTGCGCTACCATGATGCACATTAACGAGTGACTTTCCTGAGATGTGAGTTATAAAAGACTTGTTGTGTTCTACCAAGATTTGTATGCTAGTAATTGCTTAAATGAAATAGATGATATACAGGTGGAGGCAGGTCATGGAAAGGGAGGATCTCCTAAAATGGAATTGTCATAAAATAAAAAGTTAATCATTTGGTAGCTGCTGTATGTAGTAAAACATGCACACCTCACATTAGCTGTAATATGGTTGTTTTATTTCATTGTGCAGCTGCAACTAATGTCATTTATTTAATGGTACTGTATCCCATTGTAAACTAATCTAAGAATTACTGTATTTTAATGACTTCATAATTTTTCTATTTTATTTTCAGAAATTGCTTCCTAACATTTGGAACAGAAGATGAAGCCAGTACACTCATAAAGAAGGCAGCTGAAATAGAATTTGGTGGTTTGAAGCCATTTGTTGACAATGCATACAAATCATCTGGCCAGTATGTATATTTTGTTTATATGTTTTACATAGCTTAACAATTTTAAAGAAATTGTTTGGTAAAGTTATTATTGTAGGAATTATAGCATAGACATTAACCCTTAAGCCCTGGGTTAGGGTGCTGGTGGCAGTACTCCCCACCCAGGGGTAAATCGAGAAAAATCATCATTTTTTCAAAAATAATTTTTAACCTTTTAAAATGATAAAACAATAAAAATTAAGCAAGAACAACTATATATTGACCCTCTAGAAACTTTCGTGACTGCACAGAGGGAGGGAGATAGGGGACTGTGTTGGTTTGACAGCCGACGCTCGTGGTCTCTACGCACTTAACAGCTATTTTTAGCTCGCCTTTGTGTCCGAGGTGGCCAATAATGTATGCATTTACTGATCTTAATACTTATTTCCTATAAATTCATTTAGAAACTTTTATTTGCATAATTTATCATAAAAAAGTGCTTGGCAACAATCACCAGTCGGTTGCCAGTCTGTCTTTGTGTTTGGTAGAGCAAGTAACGCATAAAATAATAATAATTCCACAAATAAATACATCTATAACATAATCATAGCATTGTTTTAAAGTAATACTACCCTACAATACAACTACACTACTTTAAGCATTATTACTTTGATACAACATGATAAAATGGACAAACAATGAAAATGAAATAAACAAAACTAGGTAAGTATGTTCAGGAAGCTTCCCTGTGGCCGAGCGAGTGGTGTGAGAGGCAAATAGTCACAGGAACCTGATAACCCATGCTGGGCATTTAAACAGTGGCGGGAACAGGCGCGCGTTCTGGAACGTCACCCGGGGCCTAAGGGTTAAATGTATGTGGGGAAGAGCAAAGTGGGTCAAGAAAAGAAAAAGGAAGTGTGGATCAAATCTGCAGTAAAGAATGTCGGAAAAGTATTTGTAAAGGCATTGTGAAGTACCTGTTTTGGGATACTGTATGTGGGAAGTCCTTGAATGCTTGCGGGGGGGGGGTGAAGCCTATGTTAAAGTATGTAAGGAAGAAGGAATTTAATTCCAAGTGTAAATATGATTATGTTAAGTAAGTGATTCTTGCCATGTTTTTTCAGTATTTTAATGAATCAAGTACATGTAGTAAAAGATGAAAGTTGGAGTGATGGAGGTGGATGCAAGTATGAGAGGGGAACAGTTGATGTACTGTAATGACACCACTCTAGTGGGTGATATAGAAAAAATTGCTCTTGTTAGTGACAAGTTTGGAAGTGTGTGTACAATGAAAAAGTTAATGGTGAATGTGAAAAGAAGTAGAGTACGGAAAGGTTCCTGGAGAAGTGAATGCTTAACACACTCGATCTTCACACGCATAAATGAGTATGGATGAATTTATCGCCTTGGGGACCTCGTGCATGGAAATGCTTATGAACATGTGGTGATAAAAATTTTTGCTAGTTATATATCGTTAGCTAGATACGCACACTGCCACTTTTATATGTAGGGCAGCTTCCCTGCCTGTGTGCATTCACCACTGCAACCATCAGTGTTGTCATGCCAGAGAAATTTTTTTTTAATTCTAAGGAGATTTTGATATCCTCGGTGTCATTCTGCATTGAAATACTCGCCTTTTTGTAACTGTTCTAAAATTATTTGGTGCTAAACCTGTAAGTATTGCTAAGAAACAAATTTAATTTTCGTAACATAATAATGCTGGTATAATGCCATGTATAAAATAAATTTGTCTAGATTTTTTCTCCAACAGATTTTCAGGGGAAAACATTTTTATCGTGATTGCCTGCCTATCTTACACTATTTTTAGATAATTTACTTGAGATTCTCATGGATATAAACCCCATGTTTCTGTCTCAAATAGTACACGTGATATGGCTAAAGGTGTAGAGGCATCTGAGTGTTAAGAGCAGTTTTTAAGGTAAATATGATGTAGAGAAAAAGATGAGTGGTAGAGGTTGTGGGCAGATTCAGGGTCTGTTCAGAATATATGGACATGAAAAGGGTAGGAAATGAAGGTTGTTGTAAATAGGGTGTGCATTTCAATGGTTGACTTGCCAATTCATTAATCTAATTTCTTCATTACAATACTCGCAACTTATGCGGATTACCCCGGGGGTTAGGCTACAATTTCGAATTTCAAACTAAAAGTTTTCCAAATGGGTCGTACGCGCACCAAACGCTATCCCGCCAAAGCTCCACCCCCGCCATACATAAACTTTTTCAACTAATATTTTTGGCTCGATATATGTAACTTTCTTCATTTATTTTTTAGTCATTTACATGCACACACTGTCCTAAGGGCAAAGCTGTACTGTACATGTACTCAAAATAATGTACTAAATGATTACTAAAATTTTTGTCTAGTGCAAACTATAGCATGTTCATATTAAAATTAATCACTGTCTTATAAGAATGCCAGCAGTGTAAATTATATTATCCCAGGTCAGTTCAGTGACATTTTATAAGCAAAAAGAAACAAAATTCACTGTAAAGGACATAGATAAACAAACAAATACTTCACTAGACCTTCGGCTCCAACTGTCAAACATATCTTCCCCCCACACCCCTTCCCTCCCATCTTCCCAGCCAGGGTTTGGTGGTTATAGTCTTTAAGTTCTTATCTTATGTAATATCACAGACTAAAGTTAGAATATAATTTGTATTACTGGAATCCTTGAAAGCCAGCGAATTATATTAATTTAAACATCATTTATTTTGCACGATATAAAAAATTTTCCTGCATCACATTACAGTAGTGATTTATAAATTCTATATATATATATATATATATATATATATATATATATATATATATATATATATATATATATATATATATATATATATATATATATATATATATATATATTTATTTATTTATTTATTTATTTATTTATTTATTTATTTATTCACGCACACACACACAGCTCCTTCCCGATTTACGACCTACTTGACTTATGACCACCGGCACTTACGACCTGCCTCAGTCGTACCAAAAAAAATTCAAATTACTTATTTTCGAGTCCCAATGTCAGTACACAGAAATTTTCGTTTGTAATTCACTTTAAAATGGTTGGCAAGCTTAAAAGTGAGAGTTTTGTGGTGCTGAGAAGAAAAAGAGACACCCATTTTAGATTTTCTATGCATTAATTAAGCATTTTCTGGTTAAGAAGGATTCCGGCTAACTGAGATAATACTGTACGCATTCATCATTACCGGTAGTTAAGATCATGAAAAGTTTCTAAATGTTTGTATATTTTCTTTAATAATGTAGAAATTAGATTAATGAATTGGCAACTCAACTTCAACTAGGGCTGCCACAAGATTATATATATATACATACATACCTGAACCGCGGGCCCCATTAAATGGAATTTCTCAATCACTGTGGGTTGTGGAAAGTTATAGTTTGGGATGCGGGTTGCCCATGCCTGCTTTAAAGAATAGCTAAATTAGATGGATATTGCAGCCTTGTGAAAAGGAAATGCCATTGCTGAATATATTACTGCAGTAAGCGTGAATGACAACCACTGAAAGGAGAATGTGTGTTCTTTTTGCTGATTAAACTTGGTGTATTTTTTAGTAGTTTATAATGTCGTAGTTATATAAGACGATATCAGGGAACAGATGTAACACATATTGGTTATTCTGTAGTTTAAATCCTCACCAATTGAATCATTCCATTGTTGTCATTACAGGAAAGAAGCAGAAAAAAGAAGTTCAGATGGCACTACTGAACCAACCCCAAGCAAGAAGATGAAAGTAAGTACAGTAATTGAACTTTTACTTTATGAATATTCACTTGTGTTTTAGTTTGTGTGTCCATTTAGTGTTTCTATTACAGTATTTGTTGTAATTGTATGGATGCACCTAAGTTTTCTGTGTTTACAGTATTTTGTAATTGTCACATCAGACGCTCTTAACATTATATGGGGGGGGGGGTATTCATTATACTTCATGTGACTTGTAGTGACATGTTTTATAATGAGAAATTTTTTTCACCACAAGAATTAATGTAATTAGGGATATGTGTATTCCAACATGTACAGTAATACCCCTTGAAAGCTCAGAGTATGTTCCTAGGGAGTGATTCCAGCATATTGGTTAACAATGGTGGACAACCAGAAGAGGGAATAGACCAGAAATAAGATCAGTACAGTAACCAGATTCGATCAGCAGGAGATAAGTATTCAGGAAGCTTACCATGTCTGTATAAAATAATGTACTGCTATTTAAAATAGTACCACAAATTTTTTAGATTTCTCAAACTGGTTTTTCATTTTACTATTGCTTTCAATTTAGTTTTGCTGCAGACTGGAGTTTGTAAAACCAATAAAACTAATAGCCTTTACATGCACAGTGGGTTGCAAAGATGTATTGTAGTCGAAGAAAAAAGTTATATTTCCTGTGCTGTTCTGAAATCCATGACACACCCCGAAGCTCTGCTGTCACTTTACCCAGATTCTTTGACTGTACTATACTGGACAAAGTAAACTTATCCTAAAAATAATTTGCTTTAGTCTGCTGTGATGTATTTTTTTTTAATAGAAATAATTTTTTACGGCGGTTATGATTGTTAAAAACAAAAAAAACGGACTTGGGTCAGCATCCAGTCTGAAAAATAAGTTTGTCTGCATGACTGTAAGTCTCCAGGGTATCATGACTGCTTCATATGTGAGCTATACAGTACTGTACACAAACTTCAGTTTCCACTATGTACATCATCACAACTTAAGTTTGTGCTATTCAGTGTTTACAATCTCTTTGCATTTTTTTGGCTGGTAGCTTAGTCTTTTTTGCTGCATTCTAAGTCTTGCTAACTTCTCAGTCTTAGACACTGAAATTAATCATAATAGTAATTACTTTATCAATATCAGATTAAGGACTTAAAGTTGAAAAAATAGTCCAAGAAACCGGGCAACACTCGGTAAAAGTGATCATATTGCAATATTGCTAAGTTCTTTAGGCTTCTGGACAGTGCACAAAAAGGAATGCCATATCCAAGCAGAAATGTAATTAAAAATTAAAGAAGATACTAGTTTGCTAGACAGATATTTACTGTTACTTGTCTGGTTTAGATCTGTGCTACTGGGCTGTCGGGTAAGTCTCATTCGGTTCATTAGGTCTACGGGAAACTTGAATGGAAGGACTGATTTTAAAGAAAATAATCCAGAAATTCTGCACTAGAGGAAGGGGTTGGAAATATTAATTGGATAATTTTTTTACTAATATGTGAACTATGATATCCATATTTTCAAGTGTTATACAGCATGCCCCTTTGATCCACCTAACGGGACTTCTGTCCACCAACTTTACCGGTTGGCCGTCGTAGGTGAATGAGTCATTGGCATGCAAGACAAATGTACCTCCTCCTGCCAGCTAGCCTTACCAACTACACCTGACCAGCTTGTCCTGGTTGGGAGAGATTTAACTGCTCTCTCTCCTGCAAGTGATCTCGTTGTTCTTATGTTGGTAAAAATGCTGGTGTTGGGGACAAAACTTGCTTCCATTGCTGGGGTTATAAAGGGGATTCTGTTCAGTTCAACTATTTTGAGGAAACAGTATTGTCTGTTACAGCTGTAGAAGTAATTGAATGAGAGTGGTTGGAGTCTCTTGTTCCAGTTAGTGAGTTGGGTCATACCATTAACTGGAGTCTAAAAATCTACAGTTAATTTTTGAAGAAAAGTCTTGGGGTGGGGGGGGGGGGCTTTTATTGAAAAAAAAATCAAATTTCTAATTTAATGAGAACTGTGTTTACTGATTCCAGTAGTTTAGACTCAAGGAAAACATCTCCAGCACCCAGAAACGTTATGGGGAAGTGGGCTAGTGTGCTTCTGTGCAAGAGGTCTAGTTTAGACACTGAAACTTTCCAGCAGCCGGAAATCTCTCATCCCCGGAAGTGCTCTGCACCAATTGTTCCGGCTAACGGGGATATCACTGTATTATATCTTTTAGTGTACCTACACATTTTTGGGGGGTACATTTTGGTCAGTTTGGGGATGCATCTTTGGGGTCATGCGACGAAACTTAATTTTACCCATGTGTTATATTTTGATATGTAGGTGTTGACGGTTTTGTTTATCACTATCTCGGTAGTTTTCTGGAACCTAGCCCCCACAATTATCAAGGATACATGTACTGTACATACATACAGTATTGCCTAGTGAATACAAGATACATATATATTTTTCCTTCTTCCAGGTTGAGACTTCAGCAAAGGTTGAAACTGAAAAGAAAGATGAAGAGGAAAAGATGGAGGAGGGAGATGGTAGTGAGGAAGAGGAAGATGGTGCTGGTGAAGTAGAAGAGGAGGAAGGTGATGATGCAGTAGATGAAGATGATGATGCTGAGGAAGATGATGATGCTGAGGAAGGTGATGATAAAGCTGAGGAGGAAGGGAGTGATGAGGAGGAGGAAGAAGAGAGTGATGATGAGTAACTATTGACCGAAAAAGTGTTCTTTGAGATTTTTTCTTGACGTGACATTACCTTTGACCATTATCTACTCCATTTTATGTAGGGTAAAAGAAATGCCCTTTATATAGAAAATATGAAATGTACCATGTGGAGTTTAATAAAACCTAACTTCTTAATGTCGGATTCATTTTGTTCCGTAGTGTAGATATTAACCATTTCTCTACAGCGTGTACACATAGTTCACTGCAGCTGGTAAATATAGAAGTGTTGTTTTCAAAGCTGCCATGTATGGTCTTTGACCATAAATATTAGTGGTGAAATTCTCAACTGACATCCCACTATATATTGCCATAAAGTAAGTCTTAACTATTTCTTTATCCCCACATTTCCCTCTAGGTGTTGGAAAAGTTATTAGGAGAGCAACACACTACCTGGAAAGTTGAAGAATCAGGTTGTTTTATGTAGTTACTCTGATAACTAGTAATGTGTTAACACAAACACTGCTGTGCACCAATGTTGGTGTAACAATCAAGAAAAAATGCAAAAACATAGTTCTTGGTGCATCTGATATTTTAAGGGATAATAACTTTTCTGTATTAACCTCTAAAATTTCTGTACTTGGGAAGCAAAAATAAGCATGTGAAATCTTCTGAGAATAAGACAAAATAAAAAAAGAACCATAATCTCGCTACTAGCTGGAATCTTTGATCCCTGGAACTCTCTAATAGTTGATTGTTTTTTAGTATTCTGAGAAATTTCCAGAAAAATCTCAACATTTCAGGCATGGGGTCGAAGTTACGAGGATTGCATCATTATTAATGACGCTGGGATGCGTGCTGGGCATGTGGGTGGGTAGACTCGGAGTGTTCATGTGCTATGATTGGTTATTACTGTCGTGACTATGGGATGCTTTTGATTGGATGATTGATCTCTCAGCCAGTCTCCTCAAACTTGCATTATGACACATAGTGTACTCGCTACAGAAACTATCTGCAAGGTGGGGTCCGTTGATTTTCAAATGAATTTCATGACTACTAGTCTCAGTAGGGTTGTCAAAACCGTTCGTCCCTTGTCATATTGTCCAGCAACAAATGTTGCAGATAGTTGAGTGTGAAAGTACCACAGGTACAGAATAGTACTGTACAGTACATAGCAAAGTGGACAGTGTATACAGTGCATGTACAATAGGGGGCAGTGAAATTTTGCTCAAAGCTGCACTCTTCAGGCATTGTTCCTTATACATATCTAAGACTCCATGCCAAATTTGAAGCTGATATGTCGAGGTTTAGTCTGCCGCATTTTCTACTGAAATTTTTAAATTTACCTACAGTACTAGCCAAACAGCTGCTGTGGCGGTGCAATGTTCTGTTCAGTGTTTATCAACTTTTTTTTCATATCTCTTATTTCATTTAAGTTGTCTTGTTGCAGATGAGTATGGTGCTATGTCTATATTGATTATCAGCCTTTTCTCATTTCATTATGTCATCATGGTTGAGCCTGGCAATGAATATCTCACACATGTGACTCCCAAGACTGGACACGGAAAGCAGATTGCCAAAACTATTCACGAGTTTCTGGTGGAGAAAAATCTAACCCAGCAGCCCATTGTGTGTGTTGGTTGTGATGGAACCAATGTAAATGTAGGATCAGAAAATGGAGTCATTCATCATCTTGAAATGTTACTTGGTCACCCGCTCCATTATTTCATATGTCAGCTTCACGGAAATGAGCTGCCTTTCCGCGCAGTTTTTTATCACTATGATGGTAAACCAAGTGGTCCTGAGCATTGGCGTGGTCCCATTGGAAAGCAGATCAAGGAGTCTTTGTCTGAGCTTCCAGTTGTTGCCTTCCAGCCAGTCAGTTTCCCTGATTTCCCTGTGTTTAATGATGAAGTGGAGAAAGATCTGTCCTGGGATCAGAAATACCTGTATAGGATTTGTAAAGGAGTTATCACAGGTGTTGTTGAGGATGACTTGGCTGCTATTGAGCCAGGTCCTCCCTGTGTGTCAAGGTGGAACACCTTATGGAGTAGAATCCTCAGGCTGTATGTAGCAACATCAAGACCCAGCCATGAGTTGAAAAGAATTGTCATTACAATAATAAAGTTCAGTGCTCCAATGTGGTTTTACATCAAGATACACCCTTACGTAACACACGGCTCAAGGAACGTATTCCAGTCCCTGCTATATATGAAACACCTGAATAGTGAGGAGGAGACGATAGTGAAGAAGGCTGTCCAGAGAAATGCATACTTCGCCCACACAGATCAACTACTTCTTGGTATGTGTGCAGATGAGGACATGACTGTTAGAGAAAAAGCTGTCTCAATGATAAGAAAAATTAGAGAGGAGAATCAACAAAAGGAAGAATGCACTGGCAGATCTGAAGAGGAGGAGGAAGATTCTGATGCTGCTGTTGACGAGAATTTGTTAAACTATACTGATGAGGAGGGTAAAGATGGAGATGGGAATGAGGATGTGCCTCCTGTAGTCAACATGAGAAAGGTGGTGACTCCGAAACTAAAGTGGCAAGCAAAAAACTATCATTCCATGATTAACTGGAGGAATGAACTCAAGACTGAGCCTCCTTACATTGCTTCTCTGTCAAATCTACAGGTTAATGACATTCTTGAGACACCATTAGTGGTGCCCAAGTGGCCAAACAGCACTCAGGCGGTCGAGAGAGGCATAAAAGTGATGACTGAAGCTTGCACTGAAGTGACGGGATACGAATCGAGAGATGGATATATTAGGCAAAGATTATTGTCTAGGAAAATGATGCCAAGGTTCCGCACAAAAAAGAATTTCAATTTGAACTTGTAATGATTTTCTATACGGTGTACCTGTAAAATAACATGTGAATTAAATCGATGTAACCCATGTAAAATTTATCATTATCCTGGAAAACATTAAATGACACCTAATTTTTGGTATACACTAAAAGTTGACAAAAAGTCGTTCGCGATGCGGCAGGGTAAGTATGCATGAAATGGCATGAAATTTTGCACAGGTGTTTGTTATAGCCATACAAACGATGCCTGAAAAGTGCAGCCTGCAACTCAAATAAAAGTGTTTTTTCCCTGCCCCCTAATGTACAATCCTTCTTCAAGGAGGGGGAGGAAAGTGACAGGACAAAGGCAGGTCATCCTGTATCATCATATTCCCATTTGACCTGCCTGCATCACACACTCAAGATTACATTATAGAGTAGTATACTTTGTTTATATACAATATATTGTACTTGTACAGTGGTGTTTTCATTAATATCTGCGAGATGCATAGTTTAGACTCCCAGAGAATGAGGTATTTCAGAGTCAAGCTGCCTAATAACATTAGAATGTGGGTAGTTGTGGTTACCTGTGGAATCAGTAATTAGAGGTGAACTGGAAGCAACATTCATAAAGAAGAGCCAATTTTTTCTAAAATACAGTTTTTGTGATATAGTCCAGAATGCAACGTCTAGCTTTATTCCTAGGTCTGTAAATGCCTATCATTAACTCGCCAGGCCAACATACTGTACAGGCATTTAAAACATCTAATAATTACTTAAATAGGCAATATTAGGACATGTCGCTACCTGGCATTTAATTGCAATTCTCAAAACCCTCAACCCGACCCTCCATTACACTCACTGCCACCATCTCTTGCCCTAGAGCGAGCAGTAAACAAATGTCAACTCTTGTGGGGTGGAGGTGGGTGGGATGTCGACGTCGCATTCTGAACTTTATCACAAAAACTTTTTTTTAGAAAAAACGGGTTTTTGTGCAATCCAGAATGCGACTTCTAGCTTTGAATACCTGAGCAGGAGGTGACGTTGCGTATAAGGCTCCGCTAGCTTAGGCCCAGATTGTTGTTATAAATTGTTTAGAACATTTTCCAATACTGTATTAGGAACATTTACCGGAAGGTAAAAATGTTAATTTACATATCCCAATTAGGATACTCACTTTATTCTGATGAGGAAGGTCCTGGTTGTGGAGATTGACTAGGCGGGGGAGGGGACCTCCAACACCACCACATGTGAAGCATCTTTTAGAGATAGGTGAAGATAGCTGTTTTTAAAGGTTTTGAAGATCTCCAAAAGCCCACTTCTTTGATCTGACTGAGGCTCATATGCTGCAGAAAGGCCACTAACCCTGCATATTTCCTGGTGTTATGTGCCAAAAATTTCTTGCCAGGGTCTGTTTGATTCACTGAGATAAATGTTTTGTCATTTGACTAGGAGACAATTTCTTACCATCCTGTGATGAGAATACATGGGGCCTCGATTAGGGAATCTGGTTAACCATTCTTGAAGATTCCTAACTGGGCACAATATATGAGGAGCCCATGTCTCATCCATTAGTCGTTTTATCCTGATAGGTTGAGCTTGAAAATCTTTCCTTTCATGTTTTCTTAGCGTTTCCGCAGGAAAAAGGGTGACATCTTCCTCAGAAAATACCAATAATGATGAATTATTGGAAATTGAAATCAACTCACTGATTCTCATACCTGTTACTATGGCTAGAAGGAAGGCTGCCTTCTGGAGCAATCTGTCCTTGTTCAGATTTATATTGTAATTAGGCCCCATAAGAAATTTAATTGCTTTTCTAGAGACCAAGGTGGGATTCTCTTAGGCGGAGGGGGTCTCTGAATGAAAAAGGATGATCTGAGCATTTGATAAATCCTTGGGTTCAAAGTTATATTAAAACCCCACGCCAGAGGGTCAACCAATGCTGATTTATAAGATGCAATTGTAGATCCTTGAAGGCCTTTAACTCTGAAGAGAAATTCTAAAAATTCTAGCACCACTGTTTCTGACAATGTGATTGGAGTCGTTAACCTGATAAATTGTTGAAAAAGTTTCCAAGTTTTCTCATATTGCATAGACGTTTGGGGTCTATGACCTGCTATCACTTGGTGAATAGATAGATTGAATTCCAACGGTTCCAGTCTATGAGTAGAGCATTTCCTGAAAGATTCGATCGTTTCAGAGATGCATAAAGTGGCATCTTGTGATTGCTTTGTGAGGCAAAGAGATCCAAACTTCCTCACTAGACTCTTGAACTCCGATATATTTAGGGACCATTCTGTTTCTGTCGATACTGGCCTGAGACGGGACAACGCATCTGCCCAATTGTTTTGTACTCCCGGTATATGAGTTGCTTTGAGGTAAAGAGTTTGTGTTTCACAAACTTTGAAAATTTTTACAGACGGTTTTAGAAGGGGCCAAGATCTGGTTGAGCCTTGATGAGTGAGACAAAACACTGCCGTTCTGTTGTCCATGGCAAACAGGATTGTCATATTTTTTAAACTTGGGTTTGCCAACAAAAAGAATAGGATTACTGCTAATTCTTTTACATTTATGTGTTTGTCCCTTGACGGAATTCCCCTTTTGAGGAATGGTATCCCCATCCTATTTCGGATGCATCCGTACAAACGACCAAGTCTGTTTGAGGGGGAACCCAGGGAGATGAACCGATTAGATTGTCCAAATTAGTCTACCATAACAGATGATTCTTGACCTGAATAGGGAGAGAAGAAGCAATATTTCTGTTTCTTGTCTAACAAATCTGCTGACGTGTTTTAGGAAAGTCTTCGAGGTAGTAGATAATGACGAAAATTACGATGTTATTTACTTAGACTTTAGCAAAGCATTTGACAGAGTACCACATCAGAGGCTTCTGAGAAGAGTTAAGGCTCATGGTATGGAGGGGAAAGTTTTAAATTGGATTAAATCATGGCTCACCGATAGAACGCAGAGGGTCAGCGTAGATGGTGTTAAATCTGATTGGGGCCGTGTAACCAGTGGGGTTCCCCAGGGGTCAGTACTAGGCCCACTCTTGTTCACAATCTACATAAACGATCTAGATACTGGGATCAGCAGTGACATAGCAAGTTTGAGGATGACACCAAAATAGGGCGGCAGATTAATTCAGGGCAGGATGCAAATGCATTTCAGGAGGATCTAAATAAACTGCAGGGGTGGTCTGAAAAATGGCAAATGAAATTCAACACCAGCAAGTGCAGCGTACTTAATATTGGAAGAACAAATACTGATAATGTATACAGCCTTAACAACATCAACCTAGAGAAGTCGACTTGTGAAAGAGACCTAGGGGTACTTGTAAGCCCGGACCTACGGCCTAGAAAACAGTGCGTTAATGTTCGAAATAAGGCAAACAGAGTATTGGGTTTTATATCTAGAAGTGTAAGTAACAAGAGTGCAGAGGTCTTATTGCAACTATATCTTGCGCTAGTCAGGCCGCACCTCGATTATGCGGTTCAGTTCTGGTGCCCTTATTATAGAATGGATATCAATTCACTAGTCGGTGCAGCGAAGAATGACAAAAATGATTCCGGGACTTAGAAACCTTCCATATCAGGATAGGTTAAAGAAACTTGTGGGGTTTTTGGATGTTTGGTTCACACTCAGGATGGGATGGGGAAAGGAAACTCACAATGTGCTCTCTGTATACATGTTGTATTGGATGTACAATGCAGCTTGGTGCTGGGAAGGCAGCATGGTCACAAGCGTGATGTAGAGAGAGCTGGTTGGTGAGGGTGCTCAGAGGAGGACAGCTTGTGGGTCGCCATGCTCGCCGGCAGGAGCGAGGACCGCCAGGCAGGCGGAGGAGGTGTTGCTGGCTGGTTGGTGTAGGTAGAAAGAGACGATCACCACGAGGTCAGGTCTTAAATAGCGGGGGTGGCGTGGCTTAGTAGTTGACCCCCGCTCCGTGGGCGGCGCTGGTTGACCTAGACCACGAGGCACACACTGTGGAATTCGTGGGGTCGGCTATGCAGCGACAAACAGCGTTTGTAGGGGAGAAATCCACTACAATACTCCCCCTTCCCTCCAGGCGGTGTAGGAGACTTGTTGTCTGCAGGGTTGCATAGCACATGTGAGGCAGAACGGGCGGTGCATGCCTCATGTGAGACAACGGCGATGGCGTGGATGAGCCGGTCGCTGGAGACAACTGTCTAGATACACAATATCTGTGGGAGTAGAGAGGGAGAAAAAGGGTGTGTGGAGGCGATGAATGTTGTACTTCCCTCGCAGGCACAGGTCGTCAGATACGCCTGCTGGGGTGTGTGGGCCTGGGTGGTGGGCCTGCTGCATCAGCAGAAGCGGATGAGGGCTCGTGACAGCAGCTGGGTCCACGACAGCAGCAGGGTGCAGGACATTAGCAGGGAGTACCTGAGGGAGAAAAGAGGGGTGTGTGGGTCCGCACTCAGGAGCAGGGGCCGTGTCAGGAGAAGCGGCAGGGAGTACTGCTGGGCCGGGGCGGCGTCTGAGGCAGGACGGGTGTGTTGGTCCGCATCAGGAGCAGGGGCCGCATCAGGGGCGGCAGGGGGTACTGCTGGGCCAGGGGCGGCGTCTGAGGCAGGACGGGTGTGCTGGGGTCGGTAGGACGTGGTGCTTGGGGCAGGAAGAGGAGCTGGTGTCTGCTTAGAGAAGCAGTGCTGCTCTAGGGTGTCTAACCTGCGGTTTAGAGACAGTAGCTGTAGAGCCGATGAGAGCTGCTTCTGTGTGGATAAGCCAGTCTTCCATGTTGCTTGAAGACTGGGAGCGTGATCAGTTTCTCCTCCATCCTGTGTGAGTGCGAATCTCCGGGAGTCACCATTTGTGGGGTTGAGATGTTTGGTTCACACTCAGGATGGGTTGGAGAAAGGAAACTCACAATGTGCTCTCTATATACATGTTGTATTGGATGTACAATGCAGCTTGGTGCTGGGAAGGCAGCATGGTCACAAGCGTGATGTAGAGAGAGCTGGTTGGTGAGGACGCTCAAAGGACAGCTTGTGGGTCGCCATGCTCGCCGGCAGGAGCGAGGACCGCCAGGCAGGCGGAGGAGGTGTTGCTGGCTGGTTGGTGTACGTAGAAAGAGCGCGATCACCACGAGGTCAGGTCAGTGGCATAGCTAGATTGTGTGCCGCCCGGGGCGGCCCTTGAGTTTGCTGCCCCCCCTCCCCCCCGTGTCCCCACAAAAAATACATATTGCAGTGACTCACTCTTATATATATATATATATATATATATATATATATATATATATATATATATATATATATATATATATATATATATATATATTAAATAGTTTGTGTACCATTATAATATTACTGTACTTTCACATACTCAAATATAGTATGCTTTAAATACACCCCAAACATACTTAAACTTTATAAGTAACAGTTAAACAAAAAGCAAAAACGACATATAGGATAGGGAAAAAAGTAAAAAAAGTGTAAAAAATTAGGACCATCTTTATTTCTGAAATGAAAACTACAACTTTCTACAAAGTAACTTTTCTTGTTTTTTTGTTGGCAAATTCTTCAATGACATTGTCAAAAACTATTTCATCTGTCAATTGTCGCTCTATAGACAGTATGGCAAGATTTCTCAACCGCAAGGTGCTCATAGTAGATCTTAAGTAATTCTTGATCAGTTTTAGTTTCGAAAAACTCCTCTCACAGGTAGCAACACTAACAGCAATTGTGAGGAAAATCCTCAGCATTATTACTATATTTGGAACCGAGTTCCCAAGGTTATACTTTTGAATAAACTGCAAAAGTTCAAGGGGGCCTTCTTTCCACGTCTGTATTCTGTCTTTAATAGTTATAGCAGCAACAGCAACAAAATGCTGAAGTCTTTTTCTCTCAACGAGGAACTCCTCTTTATCAATGTCGTCGTGATCGTGATCTATTTGACACTCATATTTATTATCCAAAAGATTCAATGGGGTAAGGAAGGCATATTTCTCAGCAAGTTCATGAAGCTGTTGAAATCTCAAAGTTATTTCTTGGATCACTCTGTCCAGCGAAGAAAACATTTCTCTCCTCAATTCAATGTCGTATGGCAATTCAGCATCTCGTGATCCTTCACCAAACATTTGTTTCTTCTTTTTGGGTCGACGCTGACACTCCATGACTATCCCCAGATCATTGCAAATTTCTTTGGCATAATTAACTCCATTACTCACTAGCTTGTCCCTGTTTTCACTACAACCATGCCCTGGGAATTCGTGGACATCAACTACAACTCATACCTGAGGTAGGTCAAATTTGTGTATCCTACTGTTGTGTGAGGCTTGCAGTCCCTCCATTTTATTTTTCACGAACCGCCACTGAGTTTATTGATTCTTTCACTACAGTGTAGTTTGTGGTTTTGTACTATTTATTCTTTTCCTGACTTCCGGTGTGCAATTTTATGTTTGATTTGTTGATTTCGGGTGCAATCTTTCTTATATTTCTATTATTACTGTACTCATTGAGATGCTTTGTGCGCTGTTAGTTCCTTAATTGCTGCAGTAATTTAAAAACGTATATTTAGAACTCTCATACCTTTTATAGATAAAAGTTTTGGTGATTAATAGACATGATTCACTTATAATTTGATTACGGTGCATTTAAAAAAAATATGCTCCTCTTTTATGTACAGTATATACGTACAACAATTGTGATGGCTGTGTACGACTCCCTCACGCGGCTGTGGACGGTCTCACATGTCTTCTTAACGCCCAGTCCACGTGTGGCAGGTTAACTTATTGTCTTGAAACTCTTGTTTGATCATTTTTCCCTCATAACCCGATTCGTCACATCATCACACAAGAGAATAATGAAGGTAAGCCTTGTGTAGTATGGGAAGGGAATCTTGTAAGTTGTATAGATTATAAGTTACGAACATATATGTCAGAAGTATTTGTTTAGACCACGTTGAGCAGGCCTCACGGTTTGTTCTAAAATGTTCAGCTAATGCTTTGACGCTGGTATTTTTTCTTTACTTTAAAGCTACTGAGTGCATTCAATGCTAAATGAGTTAGTTTTGTAGTAGAATAGAATAATTTTGTAATATTCTTGCATTTGGTATTTCACTAGTTGCCACTAAACGAACCTCAGAAATTTTATATTGTCCTCGTGGATATTTTGCCGTGACCGGCCAATTTTTTACTAACGCTAATTTACCGCGATTGCACTTTGAATGGAAGTTAGGTAGGCAGGTTTCTTCGGTTGGTTAGGTCAAGTTCTATTGAGTTCTAGGGTCAATTTATGATAGTAGCCAAGTTTCAGTTTGGTCAGTTAGCACCAGAAATTAAGGTCAAATTCGTTCAAATCACAAGAAGAACCAAAGAATTTATTTATTTTTAAATAGAAAATCGAAACCTAGCTAAAGTTATCACAATTGATCGGTTCTAGTAAATGTCGCCTCATTTATAATAAGAACATAAGAAAATAAGGAGTCTGCAATAGGCCGGTTGCAGTCCGACTAATTACCCATATGTACCCAAATGTACCCAAATGTAGCAAAATGTAGCCGCAATGAAGTCAAATAATGGTCCTACAAGAATAAATCGGACTGCTAATCACTTCTCGACTAGTATTTGGTGTCACAAAGTCACAAAAAATTGGAAAACTTACTTTCATCTGAGTTAATAGATCGCGTGCATGTACCGAGGGAGCGAGTAATTACCCAAATGTACCCTAATGTAGCCGCAATGAAGTCAAATGATGGTCGTACAAGCGTAAATCGGGCTGTGAATCACTTCTCGATTATTATTTGGTGTCATAAAGTCACAAAAAATTGGTAAACTTAATTTAATCTGAGTTGTGTTAGGTTAGGTTAGGTTAGGTACATGAACTTGATCTATTAACTCAGATTAAATTAAGTTTACCAATTTTTTGTGACTTCGTGACACCAAATACTAGTCGAGGTTAGGTTAGGTTCGGTACATGCACTCGATCTATTAACTCAAATTAAATTATGTTTTCCAATTTTTTTTTACTTTGTGACACCAAATACTAGTCGAGAAGTGATTGGTAATCCGATTTATTCATGTAGGACCATTATTTGACTTCATTGCGGCTACATTTGGGTACATTTGGGTAATTAGTCGGACCCGGCCGGTTGGCCTGTGCATGGCACCTCCGGGTCCAACGAATTACTCAAAATTACCCAAAAATATATTAAATCGGGGTAAAATCTTAACGAATATCTGTTATACATACACAAAACATGTTTAATAATATTTTGCGTAATTTTGTAAAAATAATTTGTAAGATGAAATAATAAACCGAAAAACTTTCAGTATTGGCGAACGCTAAATTCCAAAGAGTTCGTGAACAAGGGAGATAACTCAGATCCATCGTGATGCATTTCGCTAACCTAACCTAACGAAAAGTAAATCCTACGGCTATGTTAAATACCCCAAAGTAACAGAAACATCGGTAATTATATCTCCATTTTGGATAGGGGACTCTTTGGAATTCAGCGTTTTTTGCTGTTTATTATTTCATTATTTTGACTATATTTCAATGAAAACATTATTAATCAGGTTTTATTGATGTAAAACATATATTCGTTAAGATTTTACCCTGATTTAATATACTTTTGGGTACTTTTGGGTAATTCGTTGGACCATGGCACCTCCTGTCGAGAGTTACTACCACTCTCTATCATCCATGAATCTATCTAGCCTCCTTTTGAAACTTTCCAGCGTTCCAGCATTTACTACAATGTTGCTAAGCTTGTTCCACTTGTCCACCACCCTATTTGTGAACCAGATCCTTCCTATCTCCCTCCTAAACCTCGGATATTATAAGAATTTTATCTATATCCCCTTTATTTATTCCTTTCATCCACTTAAATACTTCTATCATATCTCCCCGCACTCTTCGTCTTTCTAGGGAACGCAAGTTTAGTTTCTTTAACCTATCCTGATATGGAAGGTTTCAAAGCCCTGGAATCATTTTCGTCATTCTTCGCTGCACCGACTCCAGTGAATTGATGTCCATTCTATAATAAGGGCACCTGAACTGAACCGCATAATCGAGGTGCGGCCTGACTAGCGCAAGATATAGTTGCAATAAGACCACTGCACTCTTATTACTTACACTTCTAGATATAAAACCCAATACTCTGTTTGCCTTATTTTGAACATTAACGCACTGTTTTCTAAGCCGTAGGTCCGGGCTTACAAGTACCCCTAATTCTCTTTCACAAGTTGACTTCTCGAGGTTGATGTTGTTAAGGCTGTATACATTGACAGTATTTGTTCTTCCAATATTAAGTATGCTGCACTTGCTGGTGTTGAATTTCATTTGCCATTTTTCAGACCACCCCTGCAGTTTATATAAATCCTCCTGTAGTGCATTTGCATCCTGCCCTGAATTAATCTGCCGCCCTATTTTGGTGTCATCCGCAAACTTGCTTATGTCACTGCTGATCCCAGTATCTAGATCGTTTATGTAGATTATGAACAAGAGTGGGCCTAGTACTGACCTCTGGGGAACCCCTCTGGTTACACAGCCCCACTCAGATTTAACACCATCTACGCTGACTCTGCATTCTATCGGTGAGCCATGATTTAATCCAATTTTTAACTTTCCCCTCTATACCATGAGCCTTAACTCTTCTCAGAAGCCTCTGATGTGGTACTCTGTCAAATGCCTTGCTTAAGTCTAAGTAAATAACATCGTAAATTTCGTCATTATCTACTACCTCGAAGACTCTCCTAAAAAATGTCAGCAGATTTGTTAGACAAGATTTTCCCTTTGTAAACCCATGTTCAGAGTCGTAGTTTAATTTACTTTTCTCTAAATGTGATCAGATGCTATCTGCTATGATTGATTCAAGAAATTTCCCCACTACTGACGTCAAACTGATATAATGATAAGTTTCCATGCACAACAGAAATATGGTTAGGTATGTTTACAGCTCGTACCCAATTTATGAGACAGTTCGCACATATATATATATATATATTATATATATATATATATATATATATATATATATATATATATATATATATATATATATATATATATATATATACATATATATATATATATATATATATATATATATATATATATATATATATATATATATATATATATATATATATATATATATATATATATATATATATATATATATATATATATATATATATATATATATATATATATATATATATACACACACAACAACACAACCTAGACCCGACTTACAAGACACCGTCGGACTCGACCCCAGATATAGATAAAAAAATTAAATGACCGCTTTCTATAGCTTTCCAGTTAATGTAGTTCCATGATAATTAAATAGCCATGCATTCACCGACTACATTAAAGGTTATGCTCAGTCACACTGTATCATTCTATTATTTATTACTTTCACTGACTGTATCCATTCATCATTATTCATTACTTTTACTGTACTGTATTTCATTGTAGATATTAAAAAAAAATTTTTTTTTTTATCTATTCGACTTCGACCATTGGTTGACCTGTTCCAACCCTGTGTCATATATATATATATATATATATATATATATATATATATATATATATATATATATATATACCGGTCTTTATTTCGATAATAAAAATAGGCTTTTCCTATGTATTTTGATGAGTTTCGAGCAAATTTGATATTCATTTACACCGGAAATCACGTGTTTTTATATAACCTCCCACCCATCAATCATAACGGAAAATGTTGGATTTCTATTTTAGAATAAATAACAATTATATTACCAACCAACCAAGAATACCTAACCTAACCCATTGTTCATGCCCCATATGCTTAAAGAGCGAAGACGGAGGCCTGGAGTTATATGTGAGCAAGGGGTCAAACCACCTCTGCCATAAGTAAACAATTCATGGTGACACTTGTGACTGAGCGAAGTAGTAAGCTTGAAAAATTAATATCTCGGTTATCCTTAATTTCCGGTGGAAATATCATAGAAGAAAAATGTCTCAGAATTGTATAAACATTATGAGATACCGTACATATTTTTAATATGGAAATAAAGTTTGGTGTGATACTATAAATTCACCTTTAAGGAAGTAGCAAACTCAACAGGACTTGAGATTAATGTGGATAAGACCAAAACAATAATCATGGAAAGAAACTAAAGGCAAAACCCACAACGTACAGTATCGGTATAAGTGGAATTAATATTTTAAAAACTTGAGTCCTTTGAATACCTTGGACCACTTTTGACATAAGAAAACAAGATTGTAAAAACAATTATGTAAAACCAATTAAATTATAGTCAGGATTGAGCCGGTAATACAATAGACCAGGGGTTCTCAACCAGGGGGGAATTTCCCCCCTCAGGTTTTCAGGGGGGGGGGGAAACTGATACTAATATGGAGAAAATAAAGGATTTTCAGTATTATATGCATATTATTTGGAATGCACTTTTTGAGACAGACAATCTTGGAAAGGAGGGGGGAATGACATTCTGACATATGGTGAAAGGGGTGCATGGGGCAAACAAGGTTGAGAACCACTGCAATAGACGCTACTATAGTCTTATGGGCATACTAAACGAAGATCGTATCAAGAACAACAAAGCTGAGAATTTACAGCGCAATAATACGTCCAGTTCTTATTTACAGATGTTAATCATGGGCAGTGACAAAAAGATTGGAAAAGAAGTTAGAAGTTTTTGAAAAGACTGTATTAAGGACGACTATGGGTCCAGTATTCGATGTAGTAAAAGGAGTGTGGAGGAGGAGACATGCCTAGGAGCTAAGATAAGCGACCAGTCAGCCACATTTTAGCAGCGTAATTAGAAGCAATAGATTGAGATGGGCCGGACATGTCAATTCAATTTCAATATTTATTCCTTGATAGAAGCAGGATCCTAGTGCTGTCACTAGGTACCCCTGTACAATAACACCAGAAGCATCTGGCAAGTGACACAAGTATATACAGTATAAATATTATAAAGGTGCTTACTAAAGCCTAAGGAAGGAAGGATATTCCTTTAACACATCATCAATATTATTTACATAATATCTGGCCAGTATGGGGAGGATCATCGTGTCGTCCGTCAGGGGGTCTCCGGACATGTTTTTGGAATGGAGAACTATAGGTGGCCGAAGAAAGTTCTGGTTGGAAGAGTAGGATTCTGAAGCCTGAAATTTTGTCCAGAAATTAGGGGTCGACTTATACGCTGAGTATAGATCGTCAACTTCTAAACATTACTTTATCTTGGACATAGTTCCTATTTCCCAAGACTCAAAAACAATAGTGTCGATGATTACCTCTAGATTTTTGTCTTTAGGTACTACCTGGTACCCTGTAGTACTTTTATAAACTACTGTTGTTATCTACATATTAGGTTTATATTATACCCAGTAAACTGAAGGCATTGTCATGTTAACAACAAGGCATAATAATCCTGTGTAGCAGATACTAACTGTTCACTTGATATTTGTTCCATATATTTCCAAATATCTGCTTCGATAATCGCCTTGGCGTCATCCCAGCCTCATTGGTCGCCATGTAAATTTGCCCTTGCATGATTGCCTCACAATCTGCCCTTGGATAGTTCTTGCTTTGGGTTATTGAATTTTTTAATCTTTCGTGAATTTAAATGTAATCTACAACTCCTCCCCGACTTACGACGGGGTTAGGTACCCAAATCCATGTCATAAGTCGAAAATGCTTAAATAATACATAGAAAATCTAAAATGGGTGTCTCTTTTTCTTCTCAGCACCACAAAACTCTCACTTTTAAGCTTGCCAGCCATTTTAAAGTGAATTACAAACAAAAATTTTCTCTGTACTGACGTTTGGACTCGAAAATACGTAATTTGACAAAATTTTGGTACGACTGAGGCAGGTCGTAAGTGCGAGTGGTCGTAAGTCAAGTAGGTCGCAAGTCGGGGAGGAGCTGTATAGAGATGCCTAGGATGTAGGTCAAACCATTCTCATCTTGTTTTCCTTACAAAAGTTAATTAATAGCTCTCCTCATTTTTAATACCCCAACTCATGTGGTCCTACTTCTGGTGCAGCTTTCTCTTTCTCAATTTTTGCATTATAATCAGACATTTATTAAACTTTACAGTGTCTGTTGCTTTCTTTAAATCTTCAGAAGAATTTTCAGAGTCATCCTTACTCTCATTTGTTGGTGCATAAACCTGTATTATTACCAAGTCCATAGGTCTAGTATTAAACTTGACTATAACAAAACTATCTGACTGGTATGGGGTGATTAAGTTTCAAATTTAACTAGTTACTGGTAAGTTACTTTTCTTTTTCAGTTAAGTTAACCTGATTTTTTTAACATTAACTAATTAAGATATTTTCGAGTTAACTAAGCCAGTCTGTCAAATTTGCTTAGGGGAATTTTCATGTGGATTAAGTAACTTATTATCCTGTAAACATTTTCCAGAAGAGTCAATGAATACTGTATTTTGAATACCTGAATAGTGAGGCAGTCTGGCACATTACTTCCTTGGTATGAATAAGTCTTGAGATAAAATAATTATAAATTCTTGATTTTTTTATTTTTACTTCACAGTTTTTCACAGGTAAATAATTTATTATTTCAGTATGCAAATCCAAGTTAGACGACTTTTTTACTTGAAAAATTATATCGTGGTAAGCTAAGAATTCTGCATATCAAATAAATAATAATCACTGAAAGTTTAAACTCAAACTTTTTCATCACATACTCATTACACTTTATAATGCTAAATATATTGAATACTCACTGGGCGCAAGGGCTGGTGTGTTATATATTATTTGTTATATTTTCTGAGGAGTTACTTGATAATTAATCAAAGTTAATCAATTAATTTGCCCAAATTTTGATTAAGTTAAGATAAACTGTTATTTCAAAAGCTTAACTAGTTAAGCTAAGTTAATTAATTGCCCCATGCCTGGTGACTACCCAATGTCTCTTTACACTATTACTCCTGGTTTACAAGAATAGTAATGCCTCTCATGTTATTCACCGCCTGAATTATTGAATATATGAAGTCGGAATCTTCACCGCTAATTCTATTTGAACCTGTCCAACTTACTTTTTTTAATTTCTAATGTCCACTGAAAAATGTGAAAGACAATACGGGTATGTCTTGTACTATAGTACAATCGAGAGTCTGAAATCTTTTAAAAAATATTACGGGAAAAAATTTTGTGCCATATTACCTAGGTAATACTTGTACTTTATGTAAAATAAAGTCCAGTACAGAAAAAACTCTGAATATTTTTCTTTTACCGATTATTTAACACACACACGCAGGCACGCACACACACACACTCTCTTACTTGTTCAGTTATAGAATGGGGAATTGGGGGAGATTGTGATGGAGGGACAAGAGTTGTTTTCCAGCCTAAGGCACAAGGCATGTGCTGATATTCATTGTATATATTGCCAGAGTGGTGTTTTTATTATCATTTGGGACCCTCTATTGTTGTTCATGACTTATAGCTTTGTCCTGAATAAAAGTATAAATGTCCTCTTCAATTTGACTTCACTTTAGCTAATCATATCCATGATGTAGAAACTTTCTCCAGATGGTTTCATTAGCATTGTTAGTCTTTTTAGCATGTAATGTAAGAGACCCAATGTTATTGTTAGCGTTTACAAGTGTTTCAAACCCTTTTAACTGGCTAGTGTAGATAAGAGTCTTCAGAAACACAATAACTTATTGAAATTTAAGTACAGTGTTACAATATATTTCTTACTTGGTATTAAGGATGTGTTGGCTAAATGGCTACAGTACTCACTTTCTGCCCTAAGAGTTACTGGCTCAATCCTGGGTGACTCCCACTCCAGCCACTTGTAAATGGCTGTGGTACCTCCTTGTATACTGAAATTTTAGTATACAATGTGCCATATCTATATACTGTACTCCCAAAGGGGCAGCCATGCTTTTGGGACCCCCTTTCACATGATTACTAATTGATTTGTTAATGTTAACTTTCCTGCTTGCCTGTTTGCAGATGTAGTATGTGTATCTGACATGTGATGAAAATTATTTCATAATTCACTATCAGGAAATTGTTTGTTTAATTAAGTTTGTAAAAAGTCTAGGGTTTGCTTTTAATTTAATATATATTCCTAAGTAATTACAGTATTTCATTGTATTTTTGTTTCAGTCCTCTGGACAAGCTCTTGCAACTCCTAAGAAGGCAAAGAAATTGGCAGCAGAAACTCCAGAATTGAAAAAGAAAGCAGCAAAGGAACAGACTCCAAAGGTAGAAGTGTCTCAGACTCCAAAATCAAATAAGCTCAAAGCTGACAAGCTGCAGACCCCAAAGGTAGAAGTTTCCACAGTTGAAATGCCAAAAGCAGAGAAAGTTAAGACACCTAAACCACAGACCCCCAAAGTGGAAATGAGTGGAGGGGAACCACAAGCAAAGAAACGTAAAGCATCTATGACTGAAACTCCTTCAGGAAATTCTTCCCAAGAAAAAATACAACCAGCAGTCAAAGAACATAGAGGTGGTGCAGTCCGAGGAAAAAGAGGAGGAGGAAGGGGAGGTTTCAAGGGTGATAGTGGAGGTGTCCAGGGTGATGATAACGGTCATGGAGGAAACCGTGGTGGTTCAATGAGAGGTCGGGGCGCCAGGGGAGGAAGAAGAGGTCGTAATATGATAGTGAGTATTTTGTTATTATTATTATTAATTAGTGTATTGTATTTTTAGTTTTCTACTTCATTAGTCTTTTTGAGTTAAAGATTACTTATGATATCAACAGGGTGCTATAATGCCTTAAAAAGATTAGTACTGATGTTTAAGTGTGTAGCTGTAATTAGTAAATGAATTGTGCTCTATGTAGTTAATCTTTGTGCCTCTTCAGGCTTCCATCTTTGTGCACATCTTGACTTTTTATCTTTATTACTTTCATAGACTCCCATGTCCTCATTGTGCATCTAGTCTCTGGTATATCTAGTTTATATCTTTGTTCACTTTTGTAGATCACCATCTTACCTCTTTACTTTTCTTTAGCTTGACATATTTTGAGTCACAGCTGTGTATATACGTATGTCTAGAGACTCATTTTGCATGCTTAGTCACTCATCACAGTATTGTTCACCTGCCTACACTAACTTTTCATTCTTCTTGTACCACATGCCTCTGTAATGTGTAATTTGTGTGGAAGGTTGGCTAAGAAACAAAAACTTTTCATGAGTTGGTGTACATGCATGGCTTGCAGAATAACAGGGTATTGAGGTGGGCTGATTGTTGATTGATCTGTAGTGGAGAGTGTGGTAAAGAGGTATGAGGTGAGGTGAAATTGGGTAAGTGTACAGTACTGTACAGTAATAGTGGTATGAGGTGAGGGCCATGCAGCTGTTATATTTGGCTTATTGATTGATGGTGTATGGTGGGGAGCTAACTGGTGGTGTGTGGCTAACTGATCTCCACTAGACCTAACCATACCATGAGCACCATCAACACCAGGCCACATACAGGGGTAATGGCCTATATTTCCCACCCACCTGTACACTTACCCCATGTAGTGATGTTTCGTGCTTTCGCTTCTAAGTGACGCTTTCCTTTACATCAGTTTATTGTGTGTATTCATGACATTTTGTTGATTATGTAATTTTTTTTTTTTTTTGCCACAAGGAGAAGTCGGAGCAAGACAGATGTTGGACAATAAATGCAGCACAGTACTTTATATGCATTACTTTGTGAAACAAAGACAGTATGGTAACTTTGCAAAGATAAATATATAAATACTGTGTGGGAAGCTTGCCTTTGTGTGTGCAAGCAAGTAGCTTGTTGAGGTTTTAAACGATATACCTCCCAAAATGTAAAGGTGAAAATTGATCAGTTGTAAGGGATCACTGTATAGTTATACATGTGTGTTGATTTTTGTCTGAAACTATATTTCTCCCCTCCCCCTTAAAAAAAAAAGCATGATATTTAATGGCCACAATCATATGTCATCTGATTTACTGACAAAATGAATGGGACTGGCACATCATGACATACAATCAGTTACCTTATGCCAAGTCAAACAATTAAAGTTTAAAAATTTTTTGAATGCCTTCTACAAGTTTTTCATGTGCGATAATGTTTAGTGCTGACACCACACCCCCCATATTTTGGCGTACAAGTATTTGGGAATGAATTTATGTGGGACCACAGAGGTTTTTGTGTAGTTTGCTTCAGCCTGTTCAAGTTAGGTCACATCTACAGTGAAAAGGAGGGGAATTTATTGCTGATATACCCAGTTAATGTTGCCAGTCCTGTGATCTTTAAGTACTGTACATGGGAGTTAGGGACTATAATTTTAAAAGTCTAGGCTCTCATGTGTCTTCTTGAGTATTGTGTTGTTACATTTTATTAAAATAACAATTAGCAATTTGGTAAATAAAGTTGTGGACTTGTGACGATGTACCTCTTGACTATATTTGTACTCTTGCAGGCTGAGAAGGATCCGTGTGTGATGTTTATGAACTTCCACAAATCTATTGATGGAATTGTGGCAAAAGAGTTAATGAAATTTGGAGAAACCGCATCACAGATAACCTTAGGAAGGTAATTTTCAAACTTCATTATAATTACTGTAAATTTGCCTTTACTTGTTTTCATGAGGGTGTGCTCACTTGATGGTATGGTAGGCTGGGATTATACTCAATTGATTATGCAATCATATCTATTTATTGATTAAAATTTTAATCTCTAATAATCTATTTGCAGTTCTCTCACATGTTATATATTTGATTTAATTAAGGATTCAGTATAGGATGAGATATAGCACTTTCTTATGATATTAATTAAGCATTTGACTGTTTATGTTGTCATGGGTGCTTTATTGATTATCTACTTTAGAAATGCACAGGGTTTTCTCCTGTTTATCTGTTAAAATCTTGTGATAAAAATTAACTTTTCATTATTGTTTGATTATTTGAAGATAACATTTTGGCAGTAGTTGGAATGCCCCCTGAATTTTTTGCCCCAAATGTACTAAATTTCCTCCCAATTAACCTATTTAGGGCATGCTCACCATATAATTTTTCTGTTTGCTGTGGCCTTGCTGTATGCTGTTTATCCTTCTTAAATAGTCATTGTGAGAGAAAAACATGAGTGTTGAAATCTCCCACCATTAATCCTTAAGCCCTGGGTTAGGATGCTGCTGGCAGTATCTCCCCCGTTCAGGGATAAATTGAGAAAAATCAACTTAAAAAAAAGTGTCGGGAATAGGCGGACGTTCTGGAATGTCACCTGGGACCTAAGGGTTAACTCGATGCTACCATACAATGGATCAGTCAGGTTTTGCCCTCAAGTTTCTGTAGCCATTACAGTGACAAGCAGGTAGGATAGACACCACTGGCTGGCATGTTAGTGTAGCTGTCTTAGATACCCCTTAATTTTGTCTTTAGGGAAGAGTACAGTACAGTATTCTTTCATACCACTTTGGGTAAAAAGTCTATGGCTGTTTTTTGACATTTTTCACAGGGGGTGGGATGCTGGGTCACAATAGGGCTGCAGTAAATGGGTTAAACCCGTAGGCTATATGCAAGTGGAGGTAACCTGAAGGTCACTCACTCTGGTGACAATAATCTTTGTTCAGAATAGATGAGAAGCTAAGGATTGTCCCAAGATGTGTAAGTGTGACAGGTTATGATACTGCACACTTCATTATTTCTACTTCTCAAATCACACCCCATATGATATAAAATCATGTTCACAGGAACAAACACACACTTTCCAATTGCCAACCTCACTGATGAAAGATGTCTGTCATACTTTCACTAGTCTAGGTATATTTAGACATGCCTCTGGTATTTGAGTTGAGTTGGTCTATTTAGTTATTACTGTACTGTTAAACCTTTGGGCTCTGCTTTGTATGCCCATTGGCATTTATCCCAAGTTCATTTAGAATATGGGTAATTGATCTCTGAGTGAGAAATTACCTGTAACTAGTCATCCCTGCTCTTCCTCCAGAAACCAAAACTGTACAGAATTATTGATCTCACTCATCTTTGGAACTTCCTCAGATGTTGGCAGGTTATGAGGTTGGTCAAGTTTCTTGCTTTGTAACCGAGTCTGAGCAAGTGAAGGGCTGGTCACTCATGTAGAGTGTGACCACCACTCTCATTAAATCATAACTTATGGCAACTGTGTCCTTAAGTCCCCCATCTTTATGGGCTAGGGTGGTTGTGGGGGAAATAGTTAAACTCTGGAGTAACTCAACACTGTAGGTTAGGGCTTTCTTGATTACTAGAGCTGCCAGCCATCTGTGGGCATATTCATTAATTATTTAATTCAGGCTTTGTTATAAGATGTACCATTGTGCAATTGCAGCTAATGTTAAATGACAATGTTGTGCACTGTTAAACTAGTTTTTATGTTAATACATTTGAAATTTTTTCAGACGTTGTTTCCTAACATTTCCAACAGAAGAAGAAGCCAGCACATTTAAAGAGAAGGCATCTGAAATTAAATTTAATGGTCAAGAGCCATTCATTGATAATGCACACAAGAAGTTAACTGCCATGTACGTATATCTTCATTGTTATAATATACTGTATTGTTTTTCATAAGATTGTGATCATTTCTTAGGCACAGGTAAATTATTCATTTGTTAAGACCAGACAAGGAGTGCTGCAGTTGAATGGCTACAGCATTTGCCTCCTGTTCACTCAGCTGTAAATGGTTATTAAAGTTTACAACTTGGGGAAGTGAATGTGGTCGAGTGCAGTACTAGCCATGTTGCCTCATTGTGTACCGAAGGCATAATATACAGAGTGTAGTGTCCACATTGTCCCTAATGGGCAGTCATGCATATGGGACCCACTTCACTTTTTTGAAGACCAGATGACATGGGGTGCACTGGATAAGGTATCCATGCAGATAGTGGCATGTATCTACTATCTAGTATTTGGCTGTACTCTGTTGACTAAAGGAGTGTGAGCTACTTTTCAATTAGAAAGATTATTTTATTGGACCATGCCCATTTGAATGTTTTTTAGTGGAGATTGCTGCTGATTGGTGATGCTAGTTTGTGTGTGGTGATGGGTAAACCAGATTTAGGGTCTTAATGTGGAAGGGGAGTGCTGTAGCAGAACCCATCTTTTTGAACAGTGAGTGATTGATTGAAAACAAATGAACAGGGATGTGTGTGTGTATTTTTTCACAATGACCATCCTGCAGTAAGCAGGAATGGGGAACAGGCTTGAAAGAGTAAAAAACAATATTATTTTAATTATGGATTCACACTGAAGTTTGACCATTGTAGTGAATACTTGTATATTTAATGTATTGTGTGCTGATTAAGCTCAGTTTACATGCTCACCAGAGGAATCACTCGTTTGTGGTAATTGCAGGGATACAAATACAAACAGTGCAGACAGCAGTGCTACAGAGTCCCCAGCCAAAAACGTGAAAGTAAGTATTTGAAAATTAATCTTAATATTTTCTCATTTCTTGCCATTCTGTTATCCAAAATACAGCCTTCAGGGAATCTTGACTTTTTTGGCAGAGTTTGGAAGTATTATACTATCTTTTGGGTTTTTCGTCTGCTTCCAAGCTTACATTACTCTCCTTGATTATACTTGCCAGCTCTCCAGTAACCCTCATTCCATGTACTGTACAGTAAAACCTCGATAAATCAGACTTCAATATATCGAAATTTGCTTTTTTCGAACTCCCCGAGGTGCTCTGGTCACACACACACACACACACACGCAAAAAAAATGTAAGTACATGTTTAAAGAAATGGGGTTGGTTAAAAAAAATTAAATGAACAACACTTTCTCACTGAATACTGTACAGTGGTTTAAACACATATACTATAGACCAAGGTTGGCCAGACTTACTTAACCCAAGAGCTGCATGCGATAATCTTCATATGTTTGAGAACCGCAAAACAAGAAAAAACTTTATCCATTATGGTGTAATTGCATAAAGACGTGAAGGGGATCTTGGGGGCGAGGGAGCCACCAGAGTATATTCACTTGTCTTCCACATACAATATACCCCTACACTTATTTTTATCTTTATAGTACTGTACAATATACAGTTTTCTCTTTATTCATAAGACAAATTCTGTAGTTATATACTTATAACACTTTACAGTAAATAACAATCATCTTGGTGAACAGTTGGTGACCTTCAGACTTATTTCCGATATTCAACCCCAAGAGTTCTTTTCCATAATTTTTTATTGGTGATGTAATATTCTTTTAGTAACTTGTGTTTTACAATTAAATGCCTTAGTTGTTGAAGTTCAGTAATAACGTAATGGATTTTCTTTAAACTTCACATACACAGTGTCTCCTCCCCCCATATATTTGCTTTTTTCGGGCTGGGGTCTGCCCCAATTAGTCCAATTTATCGTGGTTCTACTGTTCTCTTCATAATTTTACTCTTATAATTGTACATTACCATAAAATTATTTAACATTAATCCAATTTACTTGATATCTTTAGTCTTTTCCATTATCTTGTTCATCATAATTTTACAAATTATTTCACTAAATTTTGCAATTTGTCTGATATACCAACATTCAGGTAGCAAACTCCTCTCAAAAACTATTAGTCTATTACCTTACATAGCATTAACCTTCAATTTCCGTGTATCTTGCCCTGTAAAAGTTATTGACCACCCTTTGCAATTCCTATTCACTCTTCACAAAAGCACTGTATCATCTAGTACAGTAGAAACATATTGCCAGTGTCTGCACCTCACCACCATTCAACTTTACCTCCTTGCTTTCATTTCTCATACCACTCCGTCCATAAATAAGTTGAACAATCTTGGAGACATCACACAAGTTGCCTCGCTCCAACTTTTATTTCATATTTTCCACTAAGTTCTCCATTACTCTCACATATGCCTTATTATTGTAGACTTCCTTCACTCCATCAAACAACATTCCTGCTACTCCATAAATTTTCATTGCCTCCCACAGTACCTCGTGATCCACCTTATCATATGCCTTCTTCAGAATCATAAATTCTGCAAACAGTTTTGTATTTTTTCTAATGCATTTTTCCCCAAAATTTTACAGAATTATTTTCCCTATACAATCTCTACCTTTTCTAAATCCTTCTAGTTCCATTTTTTTGTCTTCGAGTGTTATTTTTCTTTTTCTCTCGGTTACAGTACAACCATGCACTGGTACTTTCCTAGGTACATTCGGTAGACTGATTCCTTTGTACATTTTATACACTTTCTTGTTAACCCTTCTTGTTTTTCATCCTATTTGGCATAGTCTCAAGATACTTCTTATACTATCTTCTCCTTGCTGCCATCCACTCTTGGATTTTCCCTAATTTTGATCTGCTCACTTCTCTCTATTCCCTTCCTCGACATTTCCTTCTACTGTATACAGCTGCTCCTCAACTTATGACAGGGTTAGGGACCCAAATCCTGGTCATAAGTCGAAAATGCTAAGAATACATAGAAAATCTAAAATGGGTGTTTCTTTTTCTTCTCAGCATCACAAAACTCTCACTTTTAAGCATGCCAGCCATTTTAAAGGGAATTACAAACGAAAATTTTGTCAGTACACAGCGCAATCACAAATGTCGGGACTCAAAAATACGTAATTTGAAAAAAATTTGATACAACTGGGGCAGTCGGATGTCCGGGTGGTCGTAAGTCGAGGAGTAGCTGTACTTAAAATTCCTCTCCTCTCATCACCATCTTTAAAATTATGTTGCTTTTCAATAGATATTATTATATCTTAAGGTTTTCCTTACATACATTTACTGTACTTGTTATTTCCAGTGCCAGTCTTTTCTTCCCCCCTTTTTTTTTTTTTATTTTTTATTTCTTACCAAAAACATATTCTAGCTTATTTTTCTTTCCAAATCTTTATCTTCCTAGCATCTCACATCACTACTTTCACTCTTTTATACTCCTGTGTATTCCTGCCAACTTCAGCCCCACTCAGCAACTTGTATATTATCTTTATTAGTATTCATAATTTTATAGTTTAGCATGTTATATTACTTAAATGTTTTTTTTTATTGCAATGGTGTCGGTGTTATGGGCTTTCAGTACATGGCTGTGATTACCAGATGAGAATATTGTAACCTTTGATCTTGGTTGTAGTGTCTATGCCTTCCTTTTGAAACATTTTCGGCAAACATCAGATAATACCTCATTTATAATAATGCAAATCTTGGACCACTTTGTTTCTCATTGATACTTACGGTAAACTTCCTAACCATGTTAGTTCTAACTACCCTTCATTTATAATTTGGAAGGGGACTAATTCTGTTATTGTGTAGTAATGTTTACTGTACTTTACTGGGTTTTATGATTTATTAGTTGCTTGTACCAAATGCTGGCTCCTGTACTGAAGACTCAACATATTTTATTGTGTAAACTAATTCGTGCTAAAAAATTTGTAAATGTGAACTAGACAGGCCTTGGTATGCTACTTGAATTACTGTACTGCACATTATTTTACAATATCTGATTGTGGTCTCTGGCTATAGTTTGGAATATAGAGAGCTGAAATATGGCGTGAAGATGTGCACGTACCCCAGAAAGTGTTACAGAATAAACCCCAAAAGGGGGGGGGGGGGTTAAACATCACCCTAATTAAGTTGAGGTACAATACCTGAGGTGAGTACTAGGGAGCTAGTCTTAAGGTTATTCAGTCCATAAAGGCTAAAATTGTGAATGGCCTTGTTTGTGATCTCAACTTTATCACTGAAAATGAGTTAAGTTAGTGCACAGTATAGGTATTTTTAGAAACTCACTAATTACATGCCTGCCTTGGACACATGTTCATGATAGTATCCACTCTCAAGTAATTATCCATTTTACCGAAGTGTCTTGCTCCCCAAACAACAATAATTTGTTTGCTTTTCAGATATCTTTTTTGGGTGGGTGGGGTGTCTAAACATCAGTAATTGAACTTTTTAATGGCATCTGGAAACTACTCAACATTGAGTGTACAGTATTAAAATTAGTGAGTATGTCCCTAACATTGTAAATAACACTACTCAGACAGGCATCTTGACTACTAGTATAAAAATAAAAAGAATATGAACTTAATGGCTTTTGGAAGTACTTACGTATGGTAACCCAGTGTGCCCTTGCATACATCAAGTGGCTGGTAAACAGGTAATGGAAGAGGAAATTATTCACAAATTTTGTCACTTTTGGTAACCCAGATGGTCAGCAGCACTTTATCCTTTCTTTATTTACCTGTTCAGTAAATTTACCAATATTTTGTGGTGTCGATTAACACAGAATAACCCCTTTCTTCTCTATTTTCAATTTCTTTCTGGGTTTTTTCGCTCCCCAGGCCCCGTTGTGGGTCATTTGACCTGTGCCCGGGTGGGCTAATTCCCGTTAAGTTTTGTATATACAGTAGTTTTCAATCTGATGTGAAATTTTAAGATCATTTTATTTTTTCCTTCAAAAAATGAAGACGGCTAAAGCTGATGATGAAAAGATGGAGGAAGGTGATGACGTAGAAGGAGTTGAAGATGATGAAGAGAGTGGTGATGAAGAGGAGGAGGAGGATGATGATGATGATGATGATGATGATGATGATGATGATGATGATGATGAGTAACTTTTGACTGAAAATGTTAAAAAACTGTAGGTGTTATTTGTACCCATTACTGTATGTTATTCCTGAGATTTTTTTCTTAATCTTTTACCATGAAGAAGGGGGAAAATGGCCCTTTAAAAATTCTGAATAATTGTACAATTGATGGTACAGTACATTTATAAGTACCATGTTTTATTCTTAAATTAAAACTAAACTTTGAATTAAGATTCTCATTTCATTCCTTAACCCTTTGGATGCGGCATGCGGGTAAACCCGCCCAAAATATTATATTAATTAAATGCGACAAGCGGGGATATCCCACGGCCTTGAAAAAACTTCCCCAAATGAGACGACATGCGGACATATTATGTATTGAGGTATAGGAGTATTTCCTGAATGCAATATAGCTTATTTTTGTACTATTTTGTTTGATATTATCTGAATATGTAATACATATCTAAATTTGCTGTTTAGTAACCAAATTGATTAAATTTATTTGCCATATACCAGACATTGATTTATACCAATTTCCTGCATTTTTGGGTATAAATGTCATTTTTTCTCTAAAATTTGCACACATGTGAATTTTTGTTCCAGATTTGGAAAATATACTAAAAGTTCTCTAGGAAAAACATAGAAAATGTGATTATATGAAATTCATTTTTGGCAGGATAATTGACACTTTTCAGGAACCGGCGCAAAATTTAATTATGCACCTAAAGGGTTAATTATCATTTAGTTATTTTC